GCCTCGCGTTGTATACACATCTCCGGATATAGAGTTTTTAAGTAAGAGAGCCAGACCACTTGAGATGCGCGCCGAGGCAGTTTCTGCGGAGGGCCCAGCGCAAGACTCTCATGTCGTTGTTGTACTGTATTTAGCTAGCATGTCCAACCACAGCAAAAATTAGCAAGAAAATCGCTATCTTCCAGACGTAACAACACAGAGCTGGCGAGCATATAAAGAAGAGCTACATTGAGATTGTTCGCTACATCTTCGAATCCGGTAGATCTTGCTACAACTAGAAACATAAGCGCAGGTAGCGGTATCTCATGCACTGCAACGTCTTCTTGTCGAGAAGCCCGACTTGATCGGCACCACAAAAGTTTTCGAACGCAATAAGAACGTAAATACCGCAGTTGTAGTTGTCTGTCTGGACTCCTAGTCCCGATCCGAAATTGCGCACACGAATGCCATGTCCAATAGACCCCGGAAGAAGCGCTATTATCTTCTGAGCCACGGACCGAACACTAACAAGATACGACGATGCGCTGCTATCGTAGATGTAGGCTTGCTTATCAGCCAGGTTCAGCATAATGGAGCACAAATGGTTGTGTGCACAATTCACTGGGATAAAAACCTTCTCGTTGGATAAGCTTGACAGCTTCGCTTGAATAGTCGCGGAGCTGGTAGATACTGATCCATCCACCACAACGCCAAGCGTGGCTGAGTCAAACATGACAATACTGTGATCTGAGGAAAACAACTTGTCCACGACCAGTTGCATCATCTCGTCGCTAATCCAGTTCCTCGCTGTCAAGTCTAAAATCTTAGACTACACACCACAACAAAATGTTAGCTCTGTATCTCCATCGCAACTACATAAATAAGCGAGCAATCATACCTCAGTAGATAATACCGGAAGTGCTTTCAACTTTCCTGGAATATCGGGGTCTTTGTTCACTGCGAAATCAGTGCCGTCCAAGCGAGAAAACTCAATCTTTGCAAGCCAGATTAGCGCGGACTGAATCTTCTTGATTGTAGTAGCAGCTCGATGCCACTTTCTCATTATTGCCACGGTAGCATTTTCAAAAACTCCAACGCCCACGATTTCTAACGCAAGTTCCATCTCACGAACCCCAGGGTGCTTAAACTGGTACGCCGTCACTTTGGAAGTGCCTTTTCCGATAAGGTCCTTCTTAAAGATTCGCACTATTTCATTCGGCCTTATCAGGGGCTTGCTTGCAGGTAGCTGAGAAATCGCGTGAGCAATAGGGGCTTTACCTTTATAAAAAATGTGAAGAGCTTGAACTGCATGACTTTGTCAGCAGTAGACACGTAGCTCGCATCTCCGACAAGGATTTCATCAAGTGTTCCGAGATTCATCTTTTTACTGGTCACCTCCATGTCTTCCTGTACCAGCGTCGTTATTAGATTCCGTTTGGCCTTGACAGCTTTCGGTTTTTGCTTGGGGCGCCCCTTTGACTTTGGCGGACTTTGAAGCTCGAACTCGGCGTTGTCATCATCGATGTCGATGGGGCGTTGGTGTCCACCAATAACTGGTGATCCGGTACGTATACTTAGATGATCAGATCCAGCAGCGCTTGGTAACTCAAGATCCGGTCTCCTTTGCGTGCCCACGCGGGTCTCGGTGCCCAACTCAGTCACTGGTTGGGGTTCGGTGCCCACCTCGTTGTCCACGCGGGTCTCTGTGCCCAACTCAGTCACTGGTTGTGGTTCGGTGCCCAAATGACTGCCCACCATAGTCCCCGGTCTACGGCGTAAAGGATACGCCGTAGACACCTCAGAAATGACTTCAACCTCCACATGAGACCCCGCATCCACAGAAGTAGCCGCCGTTTGGGCTCGTTGAGTAGGCCCCCTGTTTGATTGATTAGACGGATGATCTACCTGTGGGTGGCCTCCAGTAGACAAGGTTTCGTGGCGTGCTGCAACACTGGAAATTGCAGAATAATTTCCATGCTTAAACAACGAAGCGACACCACGGAGTGCCTCCATCGCCTCCTTGTAATTCTGCATCCCGAGCCCACTAAGATAATCACTGATTGATGACGCGATCGCATTAGCCTCTCGAAACTCTCTATTCGAATCCCACACCGGGTTTTTCTTCTGAGCAACACGGGACACCTTAAGTGGCTCCACGGGGAACAAAACGTTTGGTTTCGAACGGAGGAATGACAGAAGCCACCTGGGATTCAACAGTTGTGTAGGTATGATGTTCTCGAAATTCAACGCCTTGCGTAGATAGAAAACGTGGCGGCAAGGCAAGAGTCGCGAACTCATGTACAAACACGAGCAGGTCCAGTCTCTCTTCATCACCGAATATTCAGCATTTGGTTCATCAAGCGCATCCTCATCATCAGAAACATGTTGTATGAGAATGACACCGGGGACGGGCTCAGCGAACTTGTACCTGGCTCTGGTCATAGCGTAGGTGTACTGCTCGTAGATAAGCTCGCAAACGTGCTCACTGACTAGCTGCGAGAGAAACTGCATTTCACGATCGTACTTAGAATTATGTACCATGCTTAACTTGAATGCAGACTTGATAAATTTCCGTTCTTCAATCTCCTGGTAACACATGATTGACGCGATACATTTGTCAACAGTCATGAAAGAGTTAACCAGGTCCTTGAGCTGTTTCCACGAGGCCTCAATTCTGTTGTTCGTGTTGTTTCCCATAGTCACTGCATTTTGGCGCTCGTAAGCGCACCACTGGCCCCGACATTTGTCCCAATTCTTCGCGAAATACGCTTCAAACGGATGAGAAGGAAACGCATTTGGCTCCGTTAAAGCATCATTACTAGTGTAATCAAAACCAGTAGCTTCGGTCTCCAACTCGGCGGTGCCGGTTCCCAACTCGGAATCAAAATCCCCCAGCTCAGAACCATCTGTGACCAACTCAGCCCCAACTGTACCCACCTCAACACCACTCCCATCCAGCCTGCGGCGATTGAGCCGCGAAGAAGATGTCAATCCAACTCGCAACGAACTACCACGCCCAACGACCATAATGTGCCTCATGTACTCGCGGTACTTATTGTATTCACGCTCGGTCTTTGCATAGACAATTAAATTGACGAGCCCCTGCAGCTGCTGTTTTTGCCATGATGTGAATCCATAGTCAGCCGATGCGATTTCTTCTCGAAGATACTTGATGACATGAAATTGACAAAGAAGCACGCGAGCATCAGGAAATACCACTTTCAATACAGACATCTCTGTAAAGTCCTTGTCCACGATGATACATTTGATTCGAGTCCATGCCGGATTGTTTCGTTTAAACTCATCCAGAGCTGTCGTCAACGTTGGATTGCGCTCGTTCCGTACAACCGCGTGCTGTACAAATTGTCCCTTCCCAAACGCATCATGGGCCATGACGGAAAAGACCTTATACTTGGAAACGTTTGTCCCATGCGTAGCGTCAATCATGACAACCTCAGGAAACCTGTTGAACATTTCCCGCATATGCTTCGTCTGTAGAGTGATGCACGTAGCTATCGTCTATAAAGGACCAAAACAAAGTTAGCCTACTCGTTATAGTAAAAATGTAATGCAAACATGCCTTGTTTTGGACGGTGTCCACGAAGATGCGTCCGACGTTTCCTGGCTCCTGCATGAATTTGACCATCCATTGCTTCAGTCTCTTTGCACTGGTAGGTGCAGAGTGACTCCTTTTAACTAGCTTGCTGACGAGGTTGGTAACATCTTGAGTGGAAGGGTCACCAACCGAGTTCTCCCGAATGTATACTAAGATACCCTTCTTCTGAGCGTTAGCCTTGCGAAGCTCGTCCACGGTTGCCATCTCAACCGACCCCAACATCATCCGATTGTGCGGGTATTGATCGAATGTCTCTTTTTTCAACTCGTGGCAGTGCTGCAATCGGGTTGAAGTGATTCTCAAAGCAAACCGAGGACCCTCTTCATCCACGACTTGAACACAGGCGTTGATCTAGAACATCAAATACCCCAACTTAGCCCAAATCAAAGCTAATACATCCCATCTGAGTACCAACTCACGCTAATAAATCCAATCTGAGTACCAACTCAACCCAATCACATACCTGAGCTAGACAGTCAAGTGCCCTCGACTCCTGGCGTTTTCTTTTTCCTTGGCCTCGCGATTTGTACTTGCCTGCGTGGGTACACACTATCGTCTTGCTGTAGTGTACCCAACTTTCTGGGATCAACGGAGCCGAGCTGCCCGCCGCCTTAATTTTGCTGTTCCGATGGGTAACCGTGTTATTTGTGCGGACACGGAAGCTCTACAAGAATGTAACGGGAGAATGACAACATTGCAACGATGTCTGATACTCAAATGAAAAGCGATACATACCTGGTAGGTTTGAGTTTCATACTCCCTCAGATAACTGTGAAAATCTTCCCACGAATCAAACTGTGTACGCTGGAGAGGGACAGCTACAAAACTGCTGTTGATGTCGCTGTCATCGTCCTGCCCGGATCTGGAGCTGTCGGACCGTCCGAACGCTTGGCGCGACGACGTCATGCTGCTGGATCTGGAACTCTCGTACCGTTCAGACGTTCCGGTCATAGATGCAATGCTGCTCCTTGTACTCACGGGACTCGAAGCAGACTCCACCCACTCCTCATCACTCAGATCACCCTTCCCTTGAAGCCGATCTCTCACTGCCGGAGCTGCTTCGCGATGCGCATACGGTAGGCCTTGGCGGCATCACTCGCAAGTCCATTTCTCCGGCTGCAGATTTTCGATTTGGACCTCCCCCTAAAATCAGTGGCTGACGGGGTGTATACGCTATACAGCCTGTCGGATGCCGTCGAGGGGCTAGGGGTAAAAGTCTGGCCTCAACACGACAACCCAGTTGGGTGCAGCACACACTCTCTATATAAAAATGTGAGGTCCGACCAAATTTGCCCTCTATTTTGCGTTTGTTTCTCCTTCATGTTAAAACAAATGGCTTTTGTATGCTATTTGAAAGGATTAAGTTTTAATACAGTACAGTAGTAGAAAAAAGTGTTAAGTCCAAATGGCTGGAGCTGCCGACTCAGGCGCGCCCGCGGCCACTGCGCCAGAGGAGTCGCCCTCCAAGTATCTGACCCGCTTTTGGCGTGCCAATGCGTCCGCCTTCATGCGCTGGTTCTTGGCGCTGCCGTACGCCGGTCAAGTGTCGCTGCTTCGCAACGCATCGCCCGATATTCCTTTATCGTATGACCCCAAGGAGCCGCGTCCGCAGGCCACACAGCTGCTCACGCCCGAGCTGACACTTAAGGCGCTACTAGAAGAGAACGGAAAGGTTCTGCTGCGCCTCATGAATGCACGTGCCACTAAGGCTGACCAGTGTAGTCGTCACGATCTTCTCTACCTCGCGTCACTTCGAGCTTCTGGCACTATGCCCACGTTCTCCGGTGAGACGTTCAAGCACGTTTCTCTGGCCTTCATTGACCTGGCGGACCCAGAACAGAACGTGCAGTCGCTGCTACCTTCAGCGTCGCCCGAGATTATTGAAGAGAAGAAGAACCTGATTAAGCAGGGGAAACTCATGGAGGCCGACGTGTGGCTCGCACTGCAGATGCGGCAGCAGGTTATCCTCACGATGCTCACTAACGTGGCGCACACATTTGAGACCATGTTTTTGAAGCAGGTAATGGTTGGGGAGGTTAGTGCTGCCGAAGTGGGCTGTAGATATTGCGGTTTGGCCACGAGAAGCAAGGGAGGCGCGGAGGGTGCAACGACCTTGCTGCAATGTGCATGCGAAGCCGCGTTCTACTGCTGCAAGGAACATCAGGTAGAAGACTGGACTAACCACAAGACCAGCTGTAAAACGATACGGAAGGAGAAATCTGCTGTGGAGAAGACGAAGGAGGCAAACTAGAGTGCGCGAACGGAGTTAATTAACTGGGATAACGATACCGGTCACGTACTGTACTCGCGTAAACCCATTGTGAGACCAGTGATACTTCTGTACATGTATGCATGTTTTACAGTAAAAGCAGGCCTCGTGTATATCCTTATCTCTGGTGTGCTGATTAAAATTTATTTCTTCGAAGCAATCGCTTTCTTGGTGAAGCTTCCGATGGCTTCAAGTTCGCTCGAGAGTACGGGAGCAATTCCGTATTGGTGGCGCTTGATGGGCAATTTGCGCGGGACTCGAATTGTTGTGGGTTCATCTACCGCAAGAGGTTGTACTGACTGCGCTCGGCGCTCTGCTCTGCGGCGTTTTCGGTTTCCCAAATGGGCTCGAGGTGTTTTTGACGTTGCCGGTTTACGTGCTGAAGCTGGCGGGTCAATTGCTGGCGCATAACGTAGCCTTGCACCACCTCGTACCAAACGCAAGCTTGTTGCTCGGACGCGGGTGATATGTACAGCAAGCGGCCACTGCTGAGCTTGATGGACAAACCAAATTCCGCACCAGACCAATAGAACACGTCGAGCACGACGTCTGTGCCCAACACTTTGGAAGTCTCGCGCTGGTCCTTACGGTACGACAGGTAGCCGTCGCGGAATACGAAATAGCGGCGCTTCCAGTTTTTGACGCGCGCACCCTGCTTCACCAAGAAGCCTTCGGCGTAGTTGTTAAGTGCCAAGACCTGGTCCTTCTCGGTTTCAGCGTGTTTGTAGCGGTGGTGGTTTCTCATCGTGAATCGGTCTTAGTGTTGTTGATACAGTTAGGACGTTGTTTGCGGTAATAGTGGTGACGACTGTGTCGTTAAAAATTCGCTCGTGTGTGAGTGTACTGCTGTGGGGCAGTGGGTTTGGCTGTCAAGACCAAAATACAAGAGTGATGTCTGAAAGGTGGTTGGGAAGCTTCAGCATTCACCATCCACCGAACAGCAGCCGTTCCGTTCGCGTGCACCATTACAGCTCCACCCGTTCGTTTGATGATGATAAGACCAGCCATTGTCGTATGCTTCGGCCAATTGAGACTTCTGTATACGTATCGAAACATGGGAAATAGGGGATCTCGATTTTAGGCAAAGCTGCGTAACATTCGTGGTGCATTTCAAAGTGAAGGTGTGAGGTAATGCCGGATTGTGCTTAAGCACCTGGTCCTGTCGTCTGGAATGCGTCCCCCGCACCATTCGTTTGGCATGAAATCGGAAATTATGCGCTATATTTAGTGCACAGTGTGCACTGCTTTTCAACAGCAGTGAACACGAGCTCGCATGAATCTCGTTTTATCAGATTTGGCCAGTTGCCACAGTGCTCACGAGATCTTGCAATCTTGTATGGAAAAGGCTCGGAGTACGCTACGTGCACTTCACGTTGTACTGTATGATCACCACTTACATAGAGTTTACGTGAAGTATCTCACATACCAGCAAATGCTGTAATATTTCATTCGAGTCCTTCTGTTAGCGTTCCATTCAACAGCTGCTTAGTTCGCAACAAAACTGAGCTTATTGTGACAAGTACCGGTACTTTACTTGCTAGGATTCGCAATTTACAACAGCAAGCAGATGCACCACTAGCACCTTTCGCCACTTCCACTTGTGAGAATTGTTGCCGCAAAAAATTTCAACTTCAACTATCCGTATCAAAAACCGATGCCCGGGCGGTATTGCATCGGTATAAGTAAAGAAAAAGTCCTAAAAAAGTCCATGCGACAGCTTCAACTGCGCATCATTTCGGAAGAAGCCTCACCGCTCGGACCTCGATAAGATTTCAACCCACGAGGCCATGTCCAAGAAGCCCGAGCCAAGTCCTGTACGCGTGCGATTGGCCACCCACGCGGGCTCCTGGTACTCGCACGACGAGCACAAGCTTGAGGAAGAGCTGTCAGGTGTGCGATGACACCGTTAAAGCATAGAAAGGGCCCAGTGCTCACTTGTGCCGGGGAGGCTTGTGTTGCAGGTTGGCTGGGTGCCGCGGAGGGCAACGACACGCAGGAGAAACAGCCGAGTATCCGCGCCATTATTGCCCCGCATGCAGGTTTCCGGTGCGGCTGTGACTTGTGTACACTTACAGCGACGAGCCTCTGGACTGAACGTAGTGTGCTGTTGCGCTGTAGATACTCGGGCCCCACAGCGGCGTACGCGTACCACCAAGTGCTCAACTTGGACCGAATCAAGCGCGTCTTCATTCTCGGGCCATCGCACCACTTCTACTTGCGGTGGGTACATCCATTTAAGCTGCTAAAAGTGGGAGGCAACAGTGCTGATTGGCTGTTAGTGGATGTGCTGTGTCGACTGCACACGAGTACGAGACGCCGTTGGGCAACATTTCGATCGACCACGAAGTGAACGAGAAGCTCGTGGACTCGGTAGGTGGAGAAAGTGAAAAAAAATAGTATTATATCGCTAGTCTCACGGTACTGTTGGTTGTTGCAGGGTAAGTTTGCGACCATGTCGATGGATGTTGACGAGGACGAGCACAGTATCGAGATGCATCTTCCTTTCATCTTCAAGGTAGGATTTCTTAAACTCATTAATTTTGTTATTTTTACAAATAATTTAACGTATTGTGTTATAGGTGATGAATGGCCGCAAGTTTACGGCGGTCCCGATCTTGGTCGGTAACACCAAGTCCAAAACGGACGAGGAATACGGAAAGTATGGCCACTAAAAAGCTGAAACTATTTTTTTGCAGCATTGAGGGCTTTTAACAACATATTTTATCTCGTGTTTTAGGATTTTGGCCCCGTATCTGGAGAACGACGAGAATTTGTTTGTGATCAGCTCCGACTTCTGCCACTGGGGACCTCGGTAAGGGAGTAACGCCTTCATAACCAGCGCAGTATTGGATAGCAGACTAAAGCTCTCCTCGTATATTGCTCAGATTCCGCTACCAGCCACACGACTCGACTTACGGCGAGATCCACGAATACATCAAATATTTAGACCACCAAGGCATGGGGGTACGTACAAAGCTTTGCCTTCTACTAGGAATCGGTGTCGCTAACAACTGACGTTTGCTGTCTGCTCCTTGAACGCAGTTCATTGAGCGCTTGGATGCGGCGGGCTTCACGAGATACCTGGACGAAACAAACAACACAATTTGCGGTCGCCATCCGATCTCTCTGTTGTTGAACACCATCCTGGCGTCAAAGAAGCTCAAGTGCACGCTCAAGTTCGTCAAATACGCTCAGAGCAGCGCTTGCATGCGTCACGGTGACTCCTCTGTGAGCTACGCCTCCGCCATCGTCTACAGCGAGCCGTAGCGACCTCCGCACAACGCACCAACCTTTATTTGCGTAAGTAACTTCTTTATATACCCAAGCGCTCGTGTTTTTATTGCACTGGCTGGCGTTTAGCGTGCTGTATCGAGTGGCAATTGAACGTCTATTAGCGCGCCGTACATGTATCAGTCTACTGTCCTAGCGCTACTGTCGATTACTTCTGTGGGCCGAACGCTTCAGTCAGCACCACCTCCAGTTGTTCATGTGAGCGCTTGGACAAGCCGACAGCGGGGGCAGCGAGGCTATCACGTCCAATGAACTCCAGGTGCTGTTTCTTGCCCAGCAGCTTCTCAATGTGCGCTTGAGCGTACGTCCATGCTCCTTGATTCAGCGGTTCTTCCTGCACCCATACGAACTTCTTGGCATTGTCGAACTTGGCGAGTTCTCCAGCCACTTGCTCGAACGGGAACGGCGCCAGTTCTTCCACACGAACGAGTGCGATGGTGTCGGGATTCTTGCAACGTGCAAGTCGCTCCTTGGCCAGCTCGTAGTAGAATTTACCGGAGCAGAAGTACACCTTCTTGACCTGCGACGCGTCCGTGATCGTCGGGTCCGAGAGAACTGGCTGGAAGGCTGTGTGTGGCCCCATCTCGGACAGCGGCGAGGTGGCATCAGCAAGACGTAGCAGCATCTTGGGCCCCATAATGATCACAGGTTTACGGAACGAGCGATGCTGCTGACGACGCAGCAGGTGGAAGAAATTGGCCGGCGTAGTCACGTTCACGACGATCATGTTGGTGTCGTGTTGGTACTGTTTCCATACCGGTTCCGTCTCGGATTCTTTGACAGATGAGCGTGGCGTCAACGCAGGAGTGTCCACAAGCTGCAAGAAGCGCTCCACGCGGCCACTGGAGTGATCTGGGCCGGCTCCATCGTTGCCGTGAGGCAGCAACAACATGAGACCGGATTGACGCATCCACTTGGACTCTGCACTTGACAAGAACTGGTCAATCACGATCTGAGCGCCGTTGAAAAAGTCGCCGAACTGAGCCTCCCAGATGACCAAATTCTCGGGACTCTCCACACTGTAGCCGTACTCGTAGCCCATGACGGCCAGCTCGGACAGATTGCTGTTGATCACACTGAGCTTCCCAACAGTCTCCGATGTCTTAGGCAAATGATGTTGCAGTGGGAAGTATCGCTCTTCTGTCTTCTGGTCTGTGAACGAGGCGTGTCTTTGACTAAACGTGCCACGTCGACAGTCTTGTCCAGCAAGACGCACCGAGTGGCCGTCTTGCATCAAAGTTCCGAACGCCATGGCTTCAGCTGTAGCCCAGTCAACACGCAAGTCTCCGGGGGTTTCTCCGTCCTTCACTTGCAGCATTTTCTGTCGTGACTTGATGTGCGTACGCTGTAGACGACCATGTGGCTGGATCCTCTCAGGCAGCTCCACAGAAGCCAGTCCGACTTGGATCAAGTTGTCGATCTCCACACCAGTATCCATGTTGACGTACAGATCTTCAGGTTCTGGTTGCATCATCGTCGCCCACTTGCCCTTAAACGCGTCGATCTCTGTGGGTCTATAGCCTGGTTCTCCCGTAACCATCTTCAATTCGCTCTCCAGATGCTCATTCAGACGCTCGATAGTCTTCTCAAAACTCGTACGTGACACAAGACCAACACTCTCCAGTTCGTGAGCGAATTTCACGGGGAATCGATCCGCTTGGTCCACTCGCTCGTACATTTTCGGCTGTGTGAAGCGTGGCTCGTCCACTTCGTTGTGTCCGTGACGACGGAATGTGATCAAATCGATGACAATGTCCTTGTGGAACTGGTTACGGTAGGCTACAGCAAGACGACACGCACGGATCACGTCCGCAATGCTCTCACCGTTTACGTGTAGAATCGGTGCTTCGATACTCTTGGCGATATCCGACGCATACCGCGTCGCACGACCGTCCGGGTACGTGGTCGTGTACCCCACCTGGTTATTCACCACGATATGCACCGATCCTCCAGTCTGGAAGTCTGGAAGTTGAGAAAGCGCCAACGCTTCGGGCACACAACCCTGGCCAGCGAATGCTGCGTCACCGTGAAGTAGCAATGCCATTGCGTTGGTGCTCGAGTCACCATCATTCTTGGCACGAACTTTACCAGTTGCAACAGCATTGATAATCTCCAGATGCGACGGATTGTGCACTAATGACACGTGCACTTTTTTGTCGGCGTATTTCTTGTCTACGGTAGTGGCGATATGTGACGATACGTCATCAATGCCACGGAAAGTGTCGGGGAACTCCGAGTATCCTTTCACTTTGTGGAAGATTTTGTGTGCCGGGTATTCGAGAGATCCAACAAGAAGGGCAAGACGTCCACGATGAGGCATACCGATCACTACGTCCGACACACCCGACGTAGTACACGCTTGCAATACAGTCTCCACTGCGGGTAGCATGGACTCGGCTCCTTCGCCTGAGTATCTTTTGAAAGATGAGAACTTCTTGGCCATGAAGCTCTCGAACACGTCGGCACGTAGCATGCTCGAGTATGCATTGCGCAGGTCAGAAGGAGACACTTCGCTTGTTGCTAGCGTCTCAGCAGCATTTGCCAGCCACCTTTTCTCCTCGATCGAGTTGAGATGTTCGAATTCAAACCCGGTTTTGCCACAGTAGATGCGCTGTAATTCGTCGTAGAGCTGTTGTCCGTTTACTGCAGGGACAGACACGACACCAGCCAAGTCTGTGGCTGATAAAGGACGTGTCAATAGCGGCTTAAAGTTGTCAACGGTCAAACTGGGGACAGCCGTGCGTTGCTGGAGCTGGAGCGGGTCCAGATCCGCTTGCAAGTGTCCGGACTGACGGAAGGCTGTGGCCATGGACTTTGCAGCCAGCGATTCGAGCGACGCAGCAGAGGAGAAGAGCGCCTTCTTCGGTAAAGCATTGGCTGGGGTGACGCAGCGACGCGTCAGGAGACCGGGGAGACGCAGCATTGGAATCGTGTGCGGAGGACCTGACCGATTGCCGAATGATGCAGCGGACCATTGGGGGCCGCTGTGATGGGGATACCGAAATCCAAACGGGGGATTGGACGTTTGCTGAAGCATACAAAAACCAAGATAAGGACCCTATTGAAGACGAATGGGGTAGAAACAGGACGTAACATATGTGTTGAAGTGCCAAGGTGAAGCAACTCTTATCACTTTACGACACTTTTGCAACCAGCAACACCGTTTTATCATAGTTGCCAAGAGCTTTGTTGCCATGCCAACTTTACTTACAATGTGTCAGCTTGAAACTGCTGCTCTTCTCCTTTTCCATCCTGGTCTTCTGCTAGTAGCGCCAACACTTGTTCGTGTTCGTCGGTGTCTTGAATCGCACCTAGCAACTTCAGAGCTAGGTCGTGTTTGCCGTCGTCCAGCATCACCTCAGCAATTGGCACGTATCCAATGGGCGGTCGGTTTGCTCCTGCCAAAGCCAACAGCGCTTCCCATTGATCCGTTCGGGCTAGCACACGCAACAACGTCCACCAGAATTGCCTAGGAGGGACTGTGTACTGCTCAGCACAATCTACAGCCACAAGCAAAGCTTGGCGATGCACCGGGTGCAACGTCACTAACTTTTGGATGGTCTCCACAAGAGAACTACCCACTAAAAGACCAGCGGGAATCGCTAAGGTGCGCTCCATTGCTCGCTGTGTCTCGAGCAGTTGAAGCATCTCATTCGTCATCACTTGGTTAAATGAGTCTACTGATCGAGCTACGCATTGCTTGTGAAGCTCGGATGCGCTTAGTGACCACGCTGACGTGATGGAAGGAAAAGACGTGTTTAGAGAGACTCGAAGGAGCTTCGACGCTTCTTTGAGTCGATTGCGCTTTGTGTCAAGAACGCTATCTCCGTACGCGGTCTTGCCCACTATCGCCGCGGCTTGACTGTAATCTTCCCGTAACACATTCATCTGGAAGGCATTTGCTACGTCAGAGCGTCCAATGAGTTGTTGGCTGGCAAACAAGTGCACCGCACGCGGATATTTGCCCACTGCACGCAGAAACTCATCGCCTCCGAGACGTTTACCGAGCTGTATCATGATTTTGTAGATGCTGTCAGGTGTACTTAATGGGTTGGAGCACAAACCTTTAAGGATATTTTCCTCAAGTGTGGATGGAACTCTGTCGTCCTTCGTAGCACCTCCACTATGTGGGTCAAACACGAGCTCTTGTTGCATGGCTACAGTCACTGGAAACTCTCCATCCTGGTCGTACAGAATGGACGTCTCGCTGACCCAGTTTTCCAGTGTCAAGAGCACTTCCTCACGCCCCGAAGTCAGCCCAGATGCTTCTTGTTGCAGCACGACTTTTGCAGCACTCCGTCTGAGCGAAGTGTAGAAGAGAGCGCATCCATGTGACGCTCCTCCCGATGACAAGCACGCTGCCTTATCGAACGCAACGCGGTCGCCGTAGTAGCTCCACACGTTCCCCATTTGCAATAGATTCGTCGTTTTGTCAAAATTTTCAAATGTTATTTTTAGTACAAATGCGACCTCACTGTGTCGTCCCACTAACGTTAGTTTTATTTTTTTTTCTCTTACAGAGTTTCATCATGGACGAAGACCAGAAGCAACAGGTAAGGTAGTACAAAAATATTATCTAATCGAAGCAAAACACTCACCTGGTACCTGTGCAGCTACGTGATGATTTGCAATTCGCCATCATGAAGGCGGAGCAGCTTACTGTTCTTGATTCCAAGGCCCCTGCAGGATCGAAAAATAACCCGATGGATATTAAGTCATTAGTGGATGTATTCTCAGTGTTTGGCTTTTCGCCAGACGACATCATCGACAAGCATGACCAGTGCACAATCTTCAAAAAGATCCGTGTTGAGTTAGACGACTTGCTCCGAGATCTGTCCCTGAATACGAAGAAATACGACAAGGCAATCGTCTTGCGCGACCGACTGCGTCTTATCAAGCGCGAATTCATCGAGATGCAAGGAACATGCGAGAAATCTCGTCAGGGGAAGGAGACGCAGCAGTTCAGTCGCGGTATTGTACTCGCGAAACAGCATAACGATGCTCTATACGCTGCTCATACGGACAACTACGAACGTGAGATCTCATACCGCCAGGAAGAGCTGAAAAAGACACACGAAGTCGAGCGAGCTCAACTCGAAACGTACCTGAACAAGTTACAAGAGCCTCATGTCAAGTTTTCTAGTCTGTTGCTCGAGCTGAAAAATACTGAGAAAAATCTGGCCAAGCTGAAGCTGTTTGAGGACGCGAAGAACGTCTTCGTCCGTGTCGCGAACATGGAGCGTGACGAGCGTGCGCTGAATGCTGCAAAATTCGAGAAATTCAAGGAGAACAAGCGAGCTCTGCTACTACAAAAGCAGCAACAGGAGCTAGCGGAGGCCGAAGAAAAAGTAACCGAGAAGCGCTACGTGGTCCAAAGAGCAAACGACAATCATCGAAAGACGTAAGTAATGTATCGGGCTTGAGTTGTCCACCGAGATTCTGATGTGCTCCATGTTGCTTGAACTTGACAGTGAAGTGCAACGCATGAAAAATCTGAAAACGGACATGGAACACGCGCATACGATGGATCTGCATAGCAAGAAGGTGTTCTCGACAGACGCTGTAGCTGCTGTGCGGAAGTCTCATGGTGCAACATCAAGCACTTATCGAGGACAGCAGCTCCTGAGCACAGTTCAAGGCAAGCGTCTCGAAGTGGCCAGTCTCTGTCTTCTTCACGAGAGTGAAAATGGCGTTGTGCCACCTGGGTCGGTAAGTGTAAATCTGCAACTTCAGCTGGATCGTTAAGGCTGACATTGCTGTCGGTTTCCATTTGACCAGATCATTTACACAGGGTAGCAGTATCTTACGGACGAAATGCATTAACACGTCGTGTGCACTGAAATGAAAAGCATTGCTCCGCAAAAGCAGACGAATAATGTTTAATTCAGCATTCGCCTTCACTAATCTTATCACTTTTAAGCTTGAATTTATACTACTCTCGTCAGATTCTCCTTTTTGTCTACCAACACTGTATACATCCATTGCCATCAGGAAGGAGTCAGCTCCTGGTCTAGATCCTGGAGTCACTGACTTAGGTAAAGCAACTTTCATGGAGCTGATACTAAAGCATTGAGAGAGAGAGGAACAAAAAGGAGTTGTATCCTCTTCAACAGATACAACAAACGTTTAGTAGTGACATGTGATGGTGCTCATTGCACAGCTAGAACACAGCTAGTGACACGCTTTACAAGGTAGTCTTGCCTGGACTTCCTAGTCGCGATGAAGGGTGAAGCCAGTACCAAGGTCGATTTGTGAAAGCTCTTGCAGCACTTGGTTACCTGCAAGGATGGGTGGATATTTCGCTAACGCCTCCGGTGTCGCAAAGTGCCCCAAGGGCTCCAGTGTCTTGTCGGATGCCGTATGCGAGAAGAGAGTAGAGGACACACGCCAGAGGCTCTTGCCTTCCTTCTCACGCTGAGCGATCGTCTCGAGAGTCGATGCAGCCACCACCACTTCATGGAAACCCGCTTGCACATATCCACCAGTCAGATACTCCATCTGCTTGCCCGCCTGGACAAGAAGACAGCCATCCGGAATCTTCACGGCGGTGCGCGTACCATCTCGCAGCCAAATGTACAAGCCAGGGAAACGAGATTTGCCGTGAATTGTCAACAAGTTGAGGTCTGTAGCACCAAATAAAATAATTAAAGTTTAATTATTAAGAAACCAGCAATGCATGTTTCAAACCCACCGTAGTGATAAGCTGCGAGAACGTTGTCCAGTTGATTGAACACGTTGAAGTTGCTACCCGTAGGTGCCAGTAAGTGTGGGCCGTATTGAATGCGGTCCACCAGCACGTTCTTCTCCAGACCAAGTCCAAGAGCTACGATCTCCACGAGATCCGTGATGGCGTCCAGCATCTTGCCGCCCCACATGTTCATGACTGTTTCCCATTCTGGAAATTTCCTGGGAATCACAGGCTCCGCATTCAGTTCCTCGAACTTGGTACTCTACTCAGTCACAAGTATTTTTCATTTCAGACATGAGTTAAATTCTTTTCGACGATAGAAATTTCCAATTTTAACGCACCACAGGACGTTCACCGACACGCCAGAAAAACCGGCTCTTCTTGTCCGCTTCCGGAGGGCACAGAGAAACTGGAGCGTGACGCTTGTCCAGCGCTTCTGCACGAGCGCAGTGGTTGCGTGCACGCTCCTTGAGCTCAGGAGTGACCCCCACCTGGTAGTGGTATTCGGGTCGCGCGTCTTCTTTGAAGTCTGTTGATTCAAAGTACTGCTCCATTATGTCCAGGAATGTGTCGTTGTCGCGGTCTGCTGCTCGCTGAATGAATGTCATCAATATCTCGAGTTTTTTTGTTTTGAACAAAATTGCCATCTACCTCATCGCGGACGCAGAGCACGCCGAACTTGTGCAGAGACTCGGCGGCTTTCTCGCACTCAGCCTTGTCGCCGGTGGCTTTGTAATGCTTGAGGTCGATCACGGGGATTTCTAGCATCGCGGACAAGGAGAAGGAATGGAAATGCCAGTGGTCAAGTTCGACTTTTTCGATCGCTTTCTACCCCACAAGGTAAGCAAACACTTGCGTGCATTTTACAAAAAGTGAAGCCTGAATTTGTCCCAGTATTTTTAATTAGGAGTGGTTTTAAAACATTAAAACTAAAATGAATTGTTTTACAAAACAATACTTTTTTTTACAAATTACATGTGGCAAGCTACATTTTCTAACTAAGCTTAGCAATTCTTTAGAAAGTGTAATGTCCGTACCAGTGAGTTTCTACCGCTCTCCTCCGCAGCAGCGCGTCTCGTTGGACAACTTCCAAGAGCTAGGTCGACAGCGCGTAAAGTTGCTGACTCAGGCACTTAAGCCACCAAAGGACATGTTAAACGAAGCCACAGAACTGCAGGAAGGGACCGATACCGACTTGCTGTCCCATTACGCTCTACGACTAGCATTCTGCAGGTAAGCGGCAATAATTTTCAATGGATATGATCGCAAGTCTCACCCGTTCGTGCAAGGTCACAGAGTCTCCAGCGGGTGGGATTGGCTGGTCCGTGCCGAAGCAAAACTCTTCGCAGCTCGTCTTCGTAAATTGCCACCATACACAGCCGTGGCAGTGCTCGAACGAGAGGGGATCAAACACGAACTACTTAACGAAGACAACCCAGATCTCGATAAAACACAGGGCGGCATTTACCGTGTCCCTTTTGCAGAAGCACCAAGGCTGGTGAAATATCGCGAGGTGGTTATTCACGACGGGTTCTGCTTGGTACCTCTTCGAAGGATGGACGTTGTAGCTGTGTATCACTTTCGACGATGTTTGGAAGAGCAAATGCGAGACTTGCAGTGTGCTATACCAGCGCAAGGACCAGAGTTGGAGCGGCTGACACCGATACTCGATGGATTCGTCGTGGAGGCGCGTGTCTTGACAGGAACCGCGACTTCGTTGGCAAAGAAAGCTGACAGGTCAAAGCTGGAGGTGAAGGAGATTGACCGAGTTGCTGAGAAGCATTTCCCGTTATGTATGAAGCAGCTACACCGCAAGCTACGTGAAAATCACCATCTTAAGTACGATGGACGAGTGCAGTATCGAATGTTCCTCAAAGGTGCGGGGTTCTCAGTGCACGAGTGCATTCAGTTCTTCCGCTCCGAGTTTATCAAGACGATACCTGCTGCCAAGTTTGATAAGGAGTACACGTATCACATCCGCCACAGTTATGGACTTGAAGGCTCCCGGAAGGACTATGCGCCTCTGGATTGTGAACAAATTATCTCGGGTGGCGCTCCCAGTCACGGACAATATCACGGCTGTCCGTTCAAGCACTGGGGTCGACCAGCCTTGCAAGACGAACTGCGTCGTCATGGCTTATCGTTGCAAACTACAATGGAAATCACGCAACAAGCGTCTGCAGGTAATTGCCAAAGTGCATGCAGAGCATTTTTTGAGGCAACACACTCTTCCACAGCTTCACCGGCTCAGTTCGCCTTCAATGCCGCACACTTAAGTCATCAAAATGGTTCAGCAGGCGAAAGTATTGCCATGCATCCAAACGCATACCTGAATGCCAGTAGACTTGCCACATTAGAATGACAAATGACTACTTCTTACAAAACGTAGTAAAATTTAATTTTTAGCTTCGATTGGCTAATACATGTACTAGTACTTCGAAGTTGTTGTAGAAAATAAAATCATTTTCAACTTGTCAATCGGACGGATGAACGAGACTGAGGCGAGCGGTCCGACGGATGCAGCGTCTCCTTCGCCACCGAGAGATCTGGAAACTTTAAACACCAGCAACTCCACGTATGAGCAACTTTTGGCAATTTTGCATGGGCTGCGCAACTCTATCGGACCAAGTAAGTACCGTCCAGACGAATTGCTGCCACCCATTTGTTTGATACTTTGTCACTAACTTTTTGCATTCGGCAATTTACTGTTGCCAGAGGTTGTGAATAATGCCATTTCTAAGGTGATGCGTCTTCCGGTGCAGATGCTGGGGCAAGAAGTGCCAATCATCGGCAAGAAGAAGACCAAGAAGGAGAAGCAACTTCTGAAGCAACAAAAGAACGCGGAAAAGGCTGCTACCAACGAACCGGGAGTCCAACAGCAGAAGAAAAAGAAGAAACGTGAGTTTAACATGAGCAACTACACGATGCGAGCAGTGGCGGTCAAGTTCCTGTACCTCGGCGAAAAATACGCCGGTTTTGCACGCCAAGACCACATGCCCGAGACGGTCGAACGCTATCTACTGGAAGCGCTGGTGCGTTCCAAGCTCATTGAAAACATTGACGACGCTGGCTACTCGCGCTGTGGACGCACAGATCGCGGTGTCAGCGCCTTTGGCCAAGTTGTGGCGCTTCGTGTGCGCTCCAACTTGCCAGCAACTGCTGAGCTTCTCAGTGCCGCGTCCATTGACGACGTGAGGCCTGGGGAGAAGTTCCAAGTCCGATTGGCCACGGGCGAGGAGAAGACGCTGACTGAAGTGGACTACGCTTCGCACATTAATCGCGCGCTCCCAGCTGACATCCGCGTGTACGCGGTTGCGTCCTGCCGTCCGGAGTTCAGTGCTCGCTTCGACTGCAAGGCACGGATGTACCGTTATTTCTTCGTACGACGCGATCTGGACATCGAGAAGATGCGAACTGCTGCTCAGTACCTCGTTGGGAAGCACGACTTCCGCAATTTTTGCCGTATCGACCCCAATTGTCACGTGTTTGAGCGGAATGTGCGCTCGTTCGAGATCGTGGAGTGTCCAGGCCAACGAGCCGATGATCCAAGCCAACAAATGTACCGGTGCGAGGTGTTTGGCCGCGCGTTCTTGTGGCATCAGGTGCGCTGTATGGTGGAAGTGTTGTTCTTGATCGGCTCTGGACGAGAGGAGCCTAGTATTATTCCTAAGCTGCTGGATATTGCCCAAACGCCACGAAAGCCACAATACGATATGGCATCAGATTTGCCACTTGTGCTACACGACTGCTACTTTGCAGACCCAGACGACGCGGAAGGATCTGGCCCACGCTTCGCATACACGCCTCTTGCGTTGCTGCAGGTGCACGCTCAGCTTACAGAGATGTGGGAGCAACGTAGTGTACAAGCTGCGATGTTGCGTAGCCATCTCGATGCACTTGAGGCATTCCAAGTGGAGGCAAACCTCGTGGTAAAGGATTTAGATCACTATGCACCCAAACTGGAGCAACTGATGCGGGAGCGCAAGTTATTAACGGATGAAGGAGGCGTGGTTAAGTGGAAGGACGTGAGTCCGTTGCTTCCATTATCCAAGAAGAGAAAGACCTTGCCGCTGGCGAAACGCGACACAGGCCACTCTGTCGATGAGCGTAAACGTAAAGCTCAGGAACGCAAGCGTCGACGTGAGGAAGAAGAGGAGACCGCGGTGCAGGTGGCCAAGGAGGTCAAGACGGAGAGCAAGGACCACGCAGGCGCACACGAGCTGGTTACCGCGGCGTCGTCTTGATCTGTTGATAGAGTGACGATCACCCAAAGTAGAGGGACAGTCCCTCAGGGCACACGCTCTTGAACTTTGTTGCCGTAGACTCAATCCCAAGCATACGGTTCAACTTTAGTAATAAAAAAACTATCTTTCCGTATGCATGCACATGTATTGTGTTTTAGCGGCTCTGATAATGCAACGCCCAACGTTTTGACAGTTTTTCCATTCCGGATGACGTCTTTACTAAGTAGTTGCGAACAAGCAACGCACAACGTCTTGACAATGGCTACACTGTAGCGCTTGCTGGCCAGTCATTCTCCGAAGCTGCAGACGAAGCAACCCCATTCAGAAGAACTTGCAGTTGTTTCGTCTGCCTGAATGCCTCTGTGTCCAGTGGACACACAGTGTCCACACAGTGTGTGTGGTCCGTACATGTGCAACTTCATTTCCTCGCCACAATTTTGTGCTGCAGCTCACTCTGCTGCAACAGACCGAGCGCCATCGAACGAAATAATGTCGAGCACTTTTTAGTAGAAAATAACTGCATGGCCAAAACGACCTTGATAAACTAATTATTGGTACATGGGTTTGGAGGCAACAGCGTTGCCTTTTTCTATGATACATGTGTAGGCTGGTTGTTGCCTGTTGTCGGACGTCGCTTTGGCTTGACTTTGATAGATGAATAGAATACTGGGTTTCACACGGAGTCAACTGCAGAGGCTGCCCGCTTCTTCTGAGCCTCAGCCGCCTGCGCCGCCTCGATGGGCGTCACAGGCACGGCCTCCTGCTCGTCCTGGTTGAAGCACACAATGATGGCGCTGACATTGTCAGTGGATCCGAGAGCGATGGCGTGGCTCACAAGCTCTTCAGTTGCGTGTTGCACGTCTCCATGCAGCCCCAACTTGGCACGCACGAAGTTCACGACGTCCTGAGGTTCCATGACGTCGTACAGACCGTCGCAGCCGAGCACCATGAACTCGTCCTGGCTCTTGACCTCGTGGACCACGATGTCGGGGGTGGCGCACACCAGGTCTCCGTTGAATCTGTTCTTGAATTCTCCTCGTCCGGTCTTAAAGTCGATGTCTCCGAACGCTCTTGACACCCCAAGCATTCCGTAAATGCGGCCTTTCGAGATCTGCCCTTTAGCTTTAAGAATTCGGTCGCGTTCACTGGAAAGATCAGGGGTGTGGGCGATGCACATATCCTTGGCCTGTCCGTTCGTAGACAACACGACTTGGGAGTCCCCTACAGAAGATACGAGGGCCGTGGAGCCGCGAATCACTACTGACACTGCGGTGGATCCACTAGGCAATTGTTGCTTGAAAATTTCTTCATCTGTGGCGGCGTATGCTGTCCGGATAGCATCGGCCAGTACAATGTCAGCGGGCTGCAAACTACGCGCAGATTCCGGCTTGTTCGTGGATTTTTGAACGTGATTATAGACGTTTTCGTGTAGCTTTTCGGCCAGATACTCGGCCACTTCGGGTCCTCCGTGGCCGTCGTACAGTCCGAAGAAGGCAACGAGGTCGTCGTCCACTTTCCGTGATGTGGTGGCCTGTCTGTCCTCGTTGTTCTTGCGAATGCCCGTGTCGGAATATTTGCCGTAACTCACGCGGAGTTGCGGGAAGTACTGGCCTGCAGGTCGGTGCAGCACCAGTGTGCGCTCCGTATCAGAGGCAGTAGTGGCAGTGGAGAAAATGCTGCCACTCGGACTGGCAGGTGAGCAGTTGCTGGCCGAAGGAGATGCGACGGCTTCGAGTGTCATTCCGTGCTCACCAAAGATGCTAAAGACGTCGCGGTGCGAGTCCGTGGTGGGTGCTCGGCGGGCGCCCACGCCGCTCTCGTCGCGGGCTTGTTGCTTAGAGGCGGCATGCAGGAAGATCTGACTAAGGCTGGGGCGCTGCTCGTGCTCGTGTTCCCTGGGGCTGTTGGGCAAGACGTCCTTCGACGTCTGGCAGCCCATCGAGAGCTTGGGGAAACGGATGATTGCTGTTGTTGTTGACGAAACTCGACGAGTTTCGTGCGCGACGGAAGCTGCAAAAATGGGAAGTGGGGGAAGCAAGCCGTTAGTCAGGTTGCAACACGAGAGGATTGAAATGGAAAAAGAGTGTTTTTATTTTCTCCCATTTCAAGCCATCAAAAAAGCTACCAGGCGTCGCATGCTTACGAGACACAAGTAAGGAAAAAGCCATTAAACGTACCGAAGAGGTGCAACTGCGAGTGTAAGGGATCCGTAGCTTGTGCGGAATGGAGGAAGTCGGAGGAGCTGCTCGGAGCTCCACCAGATGCGTTGAAAGGCAATTAGGGCTTTCCTAAGAGGAATTGCCACTTGTTGCCGCGGTTGCCGTTCTCTGAATGAGGCCATCCACGGAAGGAGTATTTTGCAAAACTCCGGGGCTGGGGCTGGCGTAGGGCGCACGAAGACGGGACGGAAGAGCCAGCCAAAGTCGGCGCTCAACTGGCCAATCGCGATGCGACGCTTGGATTCACTGGGGTCTCGTATGCAGCAAAACCACCTGCTTGCCATCGTGTCTGATCGCCGTAGCGCAGAATGCGAGCGCCGGCGAGCGACGCCACACAGAATTTCGCGGCTCGGACGCGTTCCGTTTCGGCGCAGTTTCCCCGCTGGGCCTTTGGGATTAGCAGGCAATGACCCAGGAACTCGCCTGTGTAGACAACCTGCAACAGCAACTTGTCTAAGGAGGTGTTAGGCAACTTGGCCAGAGGCTGCTGCAGCGGTCGGTATAAGCAACAGGCGGTTGGCTCGCCTTTGACGCAATATCCACGCGTCTAAAATTTGTAATTGCCGAAGAGTCTAAAGTTTGTAATTGCCAGCGAGTCTAAAATATTTGGACTGCAATTGCCATCGTGTTGCACTTGAGTTGAGTCGGCTTGATCGACGCACATGGAGGACAGGTGTGTCTGTCTTTTGCATCGCTCCAGCTGAGACTCCGAGCAAAACCAGCAACTGTCAATGGGAACTTCGCAGCGGTGCCCGTCGGAGCGGTGGGCAACTTCAACACGCAACTGCCGCAAAATGCCCTCTCGCGATGACACTACACGTTAAGCTTACCACTTCCGACGGCGCCACTAGTCTCCACTGTCACCAGAGAAGATGGACAGAAAGGTTGCCGCTGTGTGACTCACACAGCGGCAACCTTCCTGGCACACTGTGAGTGCCTTGACGCGCTTGTCAACTTCGCCTGTGACTAACAATAAGAATAGCTCGCGCGATGGCCAGCGTAATCAGTCAGTCGCACGTGCGCAACAGGCACCTGCACTCGCAGCGGCTATTGACGCGTCCAACCCTAGCATAGAGTCCGCCCACCCTTGCGTTGGTGGGGCGTTGGACGGCATTCCCTGCAACTTGTGGATTGATGCAAGACCATCATTAGCCACGCGCTGAAGCAAGATCTTCGAACAATACAGTCAGTTTAAATTGAGCATCACGACCGGCGGAACTCCATGCATTGTCGACCGGTATTGATATTTCACCTATCTCGAAGAGCCGATTGGCTAGCACTCTGGATTCTACGATGCAAGCGCTGCACTTGCAGTGCCCCATTTTCGTCTACTACGTGCGAGCACCGGAGCAGCTCCGGAGCCATGCCTGGAGTGGCCGTGGTGGCCCCAGATCTTTGCGTGCGCGGTCAAATCAGATCCATGTGTCGTACCGGAGCTGGAAGATTCCTGGAAGCTTGTGCCACAGCGACTTATTCAGGAGCACCAATCAGACTCGATCCCGAGCCCTACTTTCCATGCTTAATCCACTCCGTTACAAAACCCAAGCTTGATCACCCAGTTTTGTCAGCACATTTGGGACTACGCGGAAACATCTGGGACCACGGGACCCGTGGTCCCAGATGTTTCCGTGTAGTCCCGACCCGTGACGGGTGTCACGCGGGTGACCGCAGGTGTCATTTCGGTGGCATTGCAATTGCCACGTTGGTCCTGTCGACCGTGAATTGGCTTGTGGTGATTATGATTTGCGAGCCGATCTCACTATTGGATCCGTAGACATGCACGCTGTCACTGGCGATCGTCGTTCGACAGACCCACCGCCGCTTCGAGGAAGAAACCATGCCGGGGTCTCGCGAAAAAAGTTTGGAGTCAAGGCGGTGAAGCACACACCTGTGTTAAAAATTGATTGAGATATTCAATTGATATATATATAAATATAAATATCGGCAAAGGCGTCGTTGAAAGCACCAACTTCCCTTTATCAATCAACTTCGGCGTGACTCTCACGCAAAATCTAGTTATATGTACTTCTACATGCACACGTGAGATGGTGCAAACTACCGCGGCTTGGCATGCCGAGTCAAGCACTACGCAATTCAAATTGAATTGAATTTGAATTGGCATGTCAAATTGCCAATTCCGACCAGATCGAATCTGATTGGCCAATCTAGTCCTTAGTAAATTCCAGTTAATATTGGACGACGCTGGACCAGTCAATAATTTTTCCAATTTCCTGTGGAATTGCCATTCCCCTTTTCCATCGGATAGTACTCAGCTCTACCGGTATTAACATTATTTTTGCCGTGCCAGTTCTCGCTGATGTAAAAAAATTCCATGCTAAAACTGAAAGCCGGGGAGGTCTTCGGGCTTCACCTGTCGGATGTGGAAGCAAAAATGTATTCAAACACCACTGAGAGAACGTTCATCATCTTTTTATTACTCCCCGCAAGCTCGCTCGGTGTTCGGTCCCTCGCTGTGGACGTGAAGCCGCTCATAAAACCATAGCATTGCCATATTGAGTGTTAGGTGTTTGAGGTTGCAAGCACGTTCTCTACGGAGTTCCGTGTGCATGTGACTATAGATCCTACCGACATTCCATCATAATTTAGTCTTTATCAAGATGCGGGAGCGTTACGTTTGAGCAGCCTTGAATTTTCTAAAACTAGATTTGCGACTCGTTTGCGCAGCGACAACTTTCTTGCACTTAGCGTTAGAAATGGCTTCGGCTGTGCAGCGTTTGTGGCCTGGACGCAAGAAGTTGCGCAAGGAGACGCCCGAAGATGCTCGGCAGAGATATCTCCGCGAAATTCTGCATAGAGAATTGGAAGACAAGAAGCGTGTGGAGCGCGAGATGCACAACGTAAAACCAATTAAAACGTAGTACTTTGTAAAAGTCTGAGAGAATTTCTCACTGTTGCTTCACTCCTGCAGCTTTTAAAGCAGATTAATGCGCTTATCCTCAAAGATCGAAAGACTGTGGCAGCTTACCAGCGAGTACGTATCGTGCTTTGTGGAGTACGTTGAAGTAGTCGCATGTAAACTGTTGAGCTTGCCCGACAGAAACTTAAAGATGAAGATCCACGCAGTGTCTTCTATTATCGCATGCTACGTCGTGTAGGGCTACCAGAAGTTCATGCTCGCTTCGCGCCATGGTTTATAAAGTCCAACCAGATTCAGCTCAACCGCTGGAGTGCCGTGTTGTTTAATCGACTAGAGCAGGCCTTCTTCGCGATACCGGAACAGCTTTCGACCGTGGAAATCCGCATGCTCGCTCACCAAAAGCATTACGATGCCATCATGAAGCCTCCAGCCGCTGACTTAGCAGCGCAGGACGCCTCTAAATCGCTCGAGCCACGTCAAAAGAGTCAAATACTGCTGCAACGAGCCTTTCGAGACTGCTCCTTCCACGTCGACGAAGATATTGCTCGCAAACGACAGCAACAGGCAGCGGTCACCGGCGTCAAAAAGCCACCGCCACAGCCTCAATTCAAACACAGTGACAACCAAGAAGACGAAGTCGACAAGCTGGAATTAATCGCAGAAGTCCCCGTCATAAATGCTCCACCAGGACTTGCTCCGCAAGTGCGAGGCCAGCTTGAATCGCATGGTAAACACACCTTCTTCACATATAATGGACGCTGGAAAGATGGCGAAATGCACGCCACCCTCGGAGTCTACACGTTCGCTGACGGTGGCAAATATCGAGGCGAGTTCGTTCATAATGAACCATGCGGGAACGGAACCGTAGTGTATCCGAACGGCGTTAAATACACTGGCGCTTTTGCTGACGGAAAGTTCCACGGCTTCGGAGTCATGGAAATGGATCGTGGATACTGCTACGAAGGTGAATTTATCAAAGGACAACGCTGTGGGGTGGGGAAGCTACAGATGCTCCAGAGTGGCGCTGTGTATCAAGGCGAATTCTACAATAATATGCGTCATGGTCAAGGCACAGAGACGAGTGCGCTTGGATACTCGTACGTCGGTACGTGGCGATGCAATCGTATCTGCGGAAAAGGTCGATTGGTTTGTCCGGACAAACGCGAGGTCTTTCGTACGGATTGGCCGCCGTTGTTGCTTGGTGAGGCAATTCGTTTAGTGAAGCGAGAAAAGGCTGAGGCTGGCTGGAGACAAGAGCTTTGGTATCGGAAACTACTTCGTGTCCGTGATGACCTGCGAGCTTTGGACCTACAGAACGCGTTCTGGGATGCCGAAGAGGCTCGTATGAAACGGCAGAAAGAGGAACGCATTGACAACTTGAAACGTGCTCGACGTGAGAAACGTGAGACACAGGCAGCAGCGAAGAAGGCTTTCATGGAGCAAGCAGAAGAGAGTAGTGGAAAAAGCAACAGTGATGATGGAGAAGAAAGTAGTGAAGAAGAACGCAGTGAAGACGAGAGTGAGAGTGCAGAGGAAGATGAAGATGAAGAAGAGAACGAGAGTGAAGATGATAATACGGAATAAATAACACTTCAGTTTGAGAAATACTTCGAAGTACTACTGTACAGGTAGTACCTTACGTCTTTACTTTTTTATATTTTTTTATATTTTTCTGCAAGAGCGTGGAAGTTCACTTTTACCATGTCGGCATAGACAGTTCGTTTCTCGAAAGCCAGAGTTTCCCGGACGTTTTAGTTCCGTCGTTCACTCGCGTCAAGGCCGCCGAGCTTCTCAAGCTCTTGGTTAATTTCGTCCAGATCCTTCGACTTGAACGCCATACCGTCATGTCCAGCAGAAGTAGGATTGCTAAATGGCATTCCAGAGGCAACAGCCGATACAACCGAGGGAGGAACCACACTGCCCACAGCTGAAATCGGGTTCGGAACTTGACTCAAAGGCGAGTTCGAGATGATCTGACTGGCCAGAGGACCCGCAAGCGACGTCACAGCCGAAAACACCGACTGCAGCCCAATACTGGCCATCCCAGCCACATCGTTCAGCTGCTCAGACACAGACCAGCACACAAGTAGTTAGTCACGTCAACAGCTAAGCCTTATAAGAGACTCAAACAGCTTCACGTACGTTCTGAGGCAGTTCTCCGAGTTGGATCGTTTCGTCCACACGGCGGTCCAAGAAATCCCACGTGTCCTGGAAGTTCGGCGACTTGTCATTCAGCATAAACAGCTCCGTGCTAGCGTAGATGCCCGTGAGAATAGCGCGCTTGGTGTACCATGATAGATCCGTGGACTTGTCACCAGCGAAGTACCAGATTTCATCCGAGAGCTGGGCCAGTCTCTTTGCAGTACCAGGTGCGTTCTGCGGTAGAGCGCCAATGGCCATAGCCTGTGGCCATGTAGCCAACACAGGCTCCAGCATCTGCAGACGCGTGCAGACGCCAAACTTGAGACGTTCAGTCACCGTCATGGCCTGCAACTTTTCCGTGTTGACAATCAGCGTCTCGCGTAGCTTGGCGAGACACGAGTCCATAAAATAATCCACCAAATCAATAGCTCCGCGCTGGAACATGCCGTGAGCCACCGAAGGGTAGCCAAGATCCGTGGCGCCAGCTGCTAGAGCCTCAATGGCCCACCTTGCATTCGAGAGCGTTACAACCTAGGATATCTTCGCTTTTATAGCACTTAAACCATAACGTACCCGTGGGAAATCACATGGTCCAGAGCCTTGGCCAGAATGAGCTGCTCTGGGTCTACTGGGGACTCCGTTTTGGGCGGCTCATCGCTGGAGCTTGTCTGCGTACTCTGAAGACGGGTCTGGCGAGTGGCGGGTGCTGTCTGAAAGCACTGGAGGTTCACCGACGCGGAAGCGGCGCGAACGAAGCTGCGCTTAGTAGCGATGGCAGTGGCGAGACGCGCCGAGCGGCGGACGAGACTTCTTGACGCCATGATAGCGACTTCCTGTAGCACTTTTAAGCTCCCTCGTTTTTTTAAGATTAAGTGACAATACTGACACTTTCCTGAAAGAGTGACATGGCCATTTTTTAGTTTTTTGCTTGGTAAGCAAGTACTTTTTTTAAGCTTTGCGATACCGGTAAATATATTTTAACACTTCAAAATATTTCAGCAACCTATTTACCGTACTGTGTTGAAGTTGAATTTGTCCCAGTACTGTACCGTGTGGTACCGGTAATCAAAATGAATGAAGAGCTTTCGATATTGGCTATTGCCACAAGTTGCAATGTTTTGGCGGTTGATTCTTGCGAGTGAGCCATCACCATGCTCGCTCCTGTTTGATCAGCTTCTGGAAATTTAAAATATCCAAGCAAGTCTTATGAGCAGCGCAGTTGATTTTTTCTCTCTTTCACACTTTTGCGGTAGATTCGGTACCAATTTGATCAGCTTGTGGTTGGAAGCATCTTTCGCACTGACGTACATGTACTTCGAATAAAAGCTCTCCAGACTGGAGAGGCAACAGGATAACAACTCAGGATGCGTGATGTCTGCGCCAACCAAGCCGTCGATCTGGCTTGTTCACACTTGTGAGCTCTCAGCAACAGCGTCAGCCTCAGCCATCATCTATCTGCAATGTCCGACGACCAAGTGCCACCGTTTTCGCTCGGTACGAAACACCTTACACGCATGACGTGCAGCGCACAGTTCAGAGATGACTAACTGGCCATGCTGCCGCTACGTGTATTTACCAGATAAGCCGCGCCACGATACTTCGACGTACGTCGGTCGGTGGCGTAAGTTTGCGGAGCTCGTGTCGCCAAAGTACGTCAAACAAGGTAGACGATGGAAAAAGTGTGGCTCTAAACATCATGCTGGGGCTTTAGGTGGCTCTTTCTAAGCTCGGAGCAGATTCAGCACGCGACGCAGACTCTGGAGGACTTCCGCAACGGTAAAATCGCCCCTGGTCAGTTCAAGGATGCGGAACTTTGGAATCTTCGCCAGGGTACGAAACAATGCGACAGGATGGTACCAACTTGTGGTTTTTGCTGACGTTTTGGTGATAATTGAATCGATATGTAGCGTACGAGGCTGCCGTGCACCCTCAGACTGGCGAGACAGTTCCGGCTGTGTTTCGGCTGTCGGCTTTCGTGCCTGTGAACATTCCCATTTGCGTTGGCATGCTGCTCGCTCCTGCCACGGTATGTAAAGTCTTGCTGCACTTGTAACAATAGCTTTATTTTAATTTAAATGCTCACTTAAATATGCTTACAGTTGGGAAACACGATCTTCTGGCAATGGGTTAACCAGAGCTACAGCGCCGGTTTCAACTACGCTAACCGCAACGCCAGCAGTGAACAGGACAACTCCACCATCTTCAGTACGAAGTTCTCGATGCTAATGGCCTTCTTTCAGCGTTCTAACACGGCTCTTTGCATCGTATCACAGAGTCGTACGCTACCGCGACGCTCGTGTCTTGCTCGACTGCCGTTGGTCTGGGTAAGATGGTGGAGAAAGCCAAGAGACTTTCTCCCAGCACGCGTTCCTTCCTCGGAAAGGTTAAAACTGCTAAATGCCGAATGCTGTGCTCCTTATGTGACTGAATTTTTGGGCTGCAACTTGATCAGATGGTTCCTTTCGTTGCTGTCGCGAGCGCAGGTGCTTTCAACGCCGTGTCGATGCGCTTCAACGAGTTCCAGTACGTGTAGAGTGTCTTGCACTGGAAATATGATGCTGTTGTGCTCATTGGAGTGTGGTGATGCGTTACAGAGAGGGAATTGATATCATGGACGAGCACGGAGATGTTCACGGGCGTTCAGTTGCCGCTGGACGTCAGTCGCTTGGCCAAGTGGCACTCACGCGTATTGCGCTACCCATGCCCAGTACGTCCTCGCATTGACAAGCTCTTCTTGGGTGAATTATGTCTAATATTGGTGGACTTGGACAGTTTTGCTGCTCCCGCCGTACCTGTATGAGATCATGAAGAAAACCAACATCATGCCCAAGGCCAAGTACCCGAAGCTTGCTGCGGAGCTCGGTACGTGCATTATTTCTGCCATAGTCCGCGGTAATGAGCTAACTTATTGCGTCTCTGCCTGCATCTATGATAGTCGTGTTAACGATGTGTCTGTGGGGTGCCATGCCCAGCGCTGTGGCGCTCTTCCCGCAGTTGGGAACGATTTCGGCTGACAGCGTTGAGGAGGAATTCCGATCTCGGGTGGATCGCAACGGCCAGCCCATTCGTCACTTCATCTACAACAAGGGAATCTGATTGTGTAGCGTGCACTATTGCCACAACAGAGGTTGGCAAAGCACAGTGTTCGTCTAGGAGTCGAGCGAGCGTCGTTGAAATTTCAGCTTGCGATTGTGATTGCAACTTTCGTAACCCGCGTAACCTTGGATACACACAGGATTACACATTTTAGACCTGGCATGGGGGACGCTATATGAAGTACAACGATCTCGTTGTACTTCATATAGCGTCCCCCAGGATTAGACGATTGACCGGAGTGCATTAGAGCCCTACCTCTCATACTCCCCCTGCGTAGGGAGGGCCGTGATACTAGCCAATTTCGTATGAGGGGAGTCTATCAAATTCTACGTAGTCTTAATAGTACCGGTACTGTAGAATTAGATTGTTGCATCGATAAACACTGTTCTCCTATACTTAAAGTACCAGTTTTGCTTGCTGCTAATTCATGAGCGAGTTGCGACTTCTACAGTCGTTCCGAAGGTCAGTTTTCCATTTGATTGGGGTTCGTAGTTTCGGCAGGGCGGTCAAAGTGGCGCTTGCCTTTGTGAGCCTCAATGTACAGGAGCATGTTCTTCCGACTTTCTTCCTTTTTAGCGTCCTTGGTTCGCCAGAGATCGCGCTAAATTGACACACAAAACATGAGTTTCATCACTATATACGTAGCACACCATTAGGCATGATACCTCTGTAATATGACTGGCGTTTGCTGCCTCGTGCAAGCGCTCTTCCAGTTCCCAGCAGTATCGCTGCCATTTTTCTTTTTCCGCTATTTGACTTATAAAACAAAAGATAAAATGAGTCTTCGCTCAGCTTCACGCCATTCAATAATCGACTTACTCATCGACTAGCGCTCTCAAGTCCAGGAGAGCGTGCTTTGCTGAGGACAATTCGCGTTTTGCCCTCGACAGACTCGTTGCATTTGCTGCAGCTGGTGATCATCACAAATATTAGATCCAAGCAACATTGTAGACAAGATAATAGCAGTCCGCTTACCTTTCTCATCAGCAAGACGGAGTTCAAGCTCGTTGTGGGCCTCCTGTTGCTGTAATCGAACAAGGTCGCGTGCCTGGTCCTCCAAAGATTGCTTTGACGCTGCGAAGACTTCTCGTAAGCGCGTCTTTGCCCTCTGCATCAGCAACACATCGTAGTAAGTCGGAGGAGTATCATGCTTGAAATATTTCACATCGACATACTATGCTTTCGTCCACTTCTTTATGGTAATTGTCACGCTCCTTTTGAAGTTGCTACAGTAAAAGCACCATAAACACGATGATTTAACAGTACAGTGCTGGAAATCAATGCCATGTAGTACCCAAGACTCCATCGTTATGCGCCTCAGTGTTGCATCGCAGGTTGAGAGTGACAGTGCTATCGATTCCGACAACCCTGTGACACAGTAAACAGAGCAGCCTTTACAATTTGCGGCCAAACATACTGTCCCGTCATACACTTCAGTACCACATAAAACCCCAAGAGAGCGAAGATCATCGGACAACTTGGCGACTTCTCCACATTCATACAGCCTGAGGAAGTCGCGGGGTGTTAAAGGATCGGCTGAATAATCTGGAAGAACTTCATCAACGTTTTCGTGATTCTTCCGTAGATGATCCTGGGCATAATAGGGTGTCAGCCTCTGCGGTTCAAGAGTTTCGTACAGTACAATTGATATCGAGCTCACCTTCAGTCGATGAAGCTTCTCGGAAGTCAACTGTCCGTCGTGATCCCCATCGAAGTGTTGCCAAACCATTTTTGCAGCAACAACGGACCACACTGGCAAGCCCAATGGAATTAATTGCTCATCAGTCGACTGAACAGGGTAATAGCTTGGAAGCTTGTTTACTTGGTTCGCTAGAAATTCCAAGCTCTCTTGCTTCTCTTTCTACACCGAATGAATATAAACGCGAGGAAGTGTCGTCAATATTCAACAATGCTACATGTTACCAGCTGATCCATTCAACGCACCAGCTGAAGCTCGAGCTCGCGAAAACGAATTTCTTGCTCATAAATGGTGACGCGCAGCATCTCCAGCTCCTGCTGAATAGACTTGGTTTCGGCATAGAAGGACTGATAGGAAAAGTCGCTCAGCTCAGTAAGCAGACGCACACCAGCGCAGCCAGACGACGGGAAATGGCACGCGTACCTTTATATTCTGCACGTGCCGGCAACCTTTCTGCTCGACATCATAGTCCAACAATAAGTCCTCCAAATGTTACCAGGAGTAACGTTATGAGCACCACCTACCCAGCAGTACAGGTATAGCTCCGATGCCCCACAGTTGCTGCAGCAATACCGAGAAAGTTTCTTGACCGCAGCCCTGAGTCAAGCAACATCTATTTAGCTGAGCTTTCTCTAGGATTGAAAAGATCGCCATGTTCAACGTACGCAGCCATAATGATTTAATCGTCCTACAACGATGGCATCCTCCCTCTTGCAGAGCCGCGAAACCACCCAAGTTGGTGCTCTAAATAAGACTAGGATCTCTCTCTAGGAGAACCAGTTGAAGTCCACCGCAATGGCTACAAAACAGTGCGCCCCATCACCGGCTTTGGCGTGTTTCTCGGCTGCTGTAGCGATTGCCTAATTTGTCTTGCTACACGACGCGCTTCCACCACAGCGCAACCCAATACGCGCGTGGCTGCGCCCAGCAATAGCAGCAGCAGTGGAGACCGTCGTTGGCTCGACTCACGTCGTCCCGGCGCAAGTTCAATTGCACGAGAGTGTCGCTGCGGCTCGACGAAGTAGCCTCTTTGCGAATGTTCCTGGCCGCTTCGTCGCTGCACTTCGAGGGACACTTCAACTGAGACGGTCTCCAATTCTCGGGTCTTGCACTATTGCCCAATTTTTCAACGCGTGTTCTCGCCGAAACGCACCTCACGCATTTAACGACTTCGGCACAGCGTCGATCATGACTCGACACGTCCTCGTGCTCCTGCTTTGGTTACCAAAAAGTGAAGAATTAGTCCATAGTGAAACCGATCAAAAATTGTTTGTTTTCTCGACGTATCTATTTACCAGCAGGGCCATCTGCTTTGAAAATCAGATACATCCTTCGGTTATGTCCGCACTTGAAAGCTCTAAAGGCAGAAACGATCTTGCAAACGAAGGTCGACGGTAGTTTTAAACAATTTGTCAAAGACACGATCTTAGGCCGGCGCGTTGCGCTGCACCATCACGATGATCACTCCTTGCAGCAGTTGGGCCTTGCAGCAAGTCCAAGTCACAACGGAATTTGCCTCCGACTGCTCAAGCCTCAACCAGCCCCGCAGCTCACAGGAACCTTAAGTGAACGTCTCCTACTCACCAATCTATGTCGGTCTCGGCAGTGCGAGTCTCGCTCCAGCCGGCGCATGGCTACATACCACTCGTAGTCATCGGCGCCGGTCTCGTCGGTACGTGGGCCGGTATCAAAGTCGGCGCTGCTCGTAAGAAATACAACGTCCCGTATCCGCAAATGTACGTCGAGAAGAAGGAAAAGAACGCCAACGAGTTCAACTGCGTGCAACGCGCACACCAGAATGTACTCGAGAACCTTCCGCTTTTGTACGCCATGCTCGCCACCTCCTCGTAAGTGCATTCCAAGCGTCTCCACATGATCGTGATAACTAACAGCTGCGATGCCAATGCAGAATTTACCGTCCTAAAGTCGCAGCAGCGGCCGGCGTGGTGCGCATCGCAGGCTTCATCATGTACGTCAAAGGATACTCGACCGGTGATCCAGGGAAAAGGACAAAAGGAAGCTTTGGTGAGTTATTTATCGTGCAGCAGCTGTCGAAGTGTATCACTGTGCTAACTGCTTAGTTGCTGCATTTGCCAGGCCATCTAGGAACGCTAGTTATGTTAGGATTGTCGTTGGAAGCGTCTCTACGTCTTCTGGATATCATTTAGCTTTTGAAGAAGAGTGGAAAGTGAAGAAAGCAATGACGAGATATCCAGCAAACAAGAGCTCAGTCTCTTGAGATTATTACGACTGGTTAGCACACTCTTCAAGCCTCCAAATTCAAGGGGTAATGCGAGGCAAACGTGATATGAGTGTTGCAACGCACACCGGTGACAAATTCGCGAGCACTCAAGAGGGAAGTGCTGCGAGGCACAGTAGCAACGGATGGAAGCTGCTGCCAGAGAATGCCAAAAACGACATGAACGGTGCGGAAACGGGAGGTGGACACGGTAGACTTGCGATAAACGGACTACCAGCCTTTCGATCGAAGACTCCAAGACATCTGTACCCTGTAGAAAAGAACATTTGATGTTGTAAATGAAGTGAAAACAAAAGTGAAATGATAACCCAAAAAATTAACCACCAATACAATGTACTTCGTACACTATAGTGCTAGTTTTCGTTGGCATTAAGCCAAGTGAGACGTGTCAGTGCATCCCATTCAATGCTTACTCTACACAACGGTGGTCTTCTCGCAGGAACCACTCACACTCGTTACTGGACTCTGTAAGGTGCTGCCACGATTCAAGGTACCATCTTTTCTGCGCTTATATTACGAATCAGTTGAGCCGCTTGCACTCCATTGTGATCTGAAGCGGTCCTGCTGGCAGCGGGGCGACCGCCTTGCCGAGATTCATGAGAGCCACGACAATGTGGAACTTTTTCGGCAGCTCGTCGCCAGAGCCCTACCAGTAAGTACGGAGCACAAAAAACATTAGATATTAATAAAGTTTACAATTACAGGTAAATGAAATACAGAAGGCCATCTTTTATTTTGAGCACTCGTTATTTCGCCCGATTCATGTGAAAGAGCCAGGCTCACGGTCCCCAACTATTAATACATCCGAATGATGACCGACAGTGCCCGACTCGATATAAGAGCCGGTTGAGCAATCGTGTGAAGCGCATGGCTGCTATACGTATATTCGGATGTGAAAGACTTAGCACTGAGCGTGTGAAGAGTGTTTGCGGTATTTTGCAGTGTTCTACGCTGATAGTGTGTGGCGGCACGTACAAACTGTAAGGGCAAACACAATGATTGACTTGTTTAAAGTGTTAACTAAGCGCACATGCAAATGTATCTGTAACGTAGATACTGAAGTTCCTTTCTGGATAGCATGCAGAGACCTTTTGCACCGGCAATCTCTTCAAACGCCACAAGGACGTAAATTCCACAATTATAGCTGTCGACTTGAACCCCGAGGTCTGTATGGTACGGGCGGACTCGAAACTTTCGTGGGGCGTAGTCTGGTAGCTGCACTAGAAGGGCCTCCGTGAGTGCTCGGACTTTAAGTGCATAGGTCGAGCCCATTGGATCGTAGACAGCCGCCTCCGCCATTTACACGTCCAACGATATGCCGCACCAATGGTTTTTACTGCAGCATACGGGGATGAAGATTTTCTCATTCGTGACACTGGCGAAAACATCAGCAAAAACGGCAGCAATCCCTGGCATTGCTTCGCCTTCAGCAGAGCCGATTATACTTGGATCCACGATGATTACATCACTTCGTGATCCAAACAGTTTAGCCATAACGATGTTCATGGTGTCTTCACTAAGGCATGTTTTACCTACAAGGTCCAGAATGGCTGCCTGCATATTATACAATAGTTAATCAGAATAATATGATGAAGCAGGCAAGAGATGGGTATTTATACCTTTCTGGAAGACACAGGAATCGCTTTTGCTTTCGTCGTCACGTCTGGCTGCTCCTGCACCCGAAATGAGGATGGCATAGGCAATGAAAAGTCGACGGTGTTCACCCACTTCGTCATTTTTCCCACTTGGTTGATGGTCTTCATCGCTGTGTGCCAAGACTTCATAGTCCGCATCGTACACGCCGAAGCCAGGTATATCGACGACCAGATCTTTTTCGGCAGTACCTTTGTGCTTTGACTGGAATGCTGTGACTTTTTGGTTGCAGATGCTGATTTGTTCAGGACGCAGTATGCGCGTGATGGAGGCTGGAGGGATAATAGGCTTGGTTGGTGGTAGCGATGCTATCGTTCGTACAGTCGGGGCCTTGAGCTTAGTGCCGTACTCAATCACCTTAAACTTGTTGAGAACTGCAGCCGCAGATGCATAGGTAGCTTCGCCCGACAGTGCAGTTTCTACGGATGCTAGGCTCAGGTTCAACGAATGAAGCTCGGAGTCTTCTTGAGCAACTGCAACCGCCTTCTTACGTGCCGCCTTCTTTGCTGAAGCAGATTGCTTCGGGCGTCCTCTCGATCGTGGTGGGCTGGCAATAACGAACGTCGTTTCTTCGGTTGCTGTTGGAAGAGTTCGTGAAGTCCCCGACTCAGACCCGACTGGGACTGATTGGCCCGATTCATGTGGAGGTTCCGACTCAGACTCGACTGCACCCGATTGGCCCGACTGCGGTGAAACGCCACTTGGCTCGTTGAATAGGCCGACTTCTTCAGGTTCTGGTACTAGATCGGTAAGCAACTCATCGCCACTCGTGCTGTAGGCATGGCCAGTGAGAAGTGGTTGATGTGGTTTTCTCCCAACAGCAGTCTCTGGTGCGTGGGTAGTACTACATAGTTGTGTTAGAGGCACCAAAATATCGGAAAGCTGCCCACTCGTTTGCGAAACCTCCAGCTGATTTGTTTCTTGAATAGGATCTTCAAATTTACCATCCTTGAACCGACCAACCACTTCTTGGAGATATTGCATTGCCTGTCGATACTGGGTCATACCTAGACCAGCCATCGTGTCACAGATCTCCGAGGCAATGGGCAATGCTTCTCGGAACTTTCGATTCGAATCCCAAGGACGCTCGCGCCCAGGAAGAACAGTCTTCACCTCAAATGAGCTGGGTTCATTTTCAGCGCTACTTGAAGTGCTATTTTCCAGTGCTGAGCGAGCGTTTGAAACCAACCACCGCTTGTTTAATAGTAGCGTCGAGATAATTGTTTCTTGACTAAGAGCTTTGCGAAGGAAGAAAACGTGTCGGCATGGTAACAAACGCGTGCTCATGAACAAACATGAGCAAGACCAGTCGCGCTTGGCGACACAATACTCAGCATTAAGCTCATCCAGTGCGTCATCCTCTTCACACACACTCTTGATGAAATACATCCCAGGGCAACCTTCGTAAAAGATATACGCAGCCGGTCCAAGGGCATACGAATATTGCATGTGGATGAGCTCACACGCATGTTCGCTCACAATGTTTGCAACCAAGGACATCTCACTGTCATACTCAGGATGGTGCACGACCACAGTTTTGTAGATCTCCGAGAGAAACAGTTTTTCCTGCAGAGTTTGGTAGTACATTATGGACGCAATGCATTCGTCCACTGCCATGAAGGAGTCCACCCATTCCTTGAGTTGTTCCACGAAGCTTCCAGCCGATTGTTCGTATTGTTACCAAGTGTGACAGTATTCTGACGTTTATACGCACACCACTGTCCACGACAATTATCCCAATTCCTCTGAAAGTACGCAACAAATGGGTGCTCAACGTCCGATGCCGACGCACTCGACTGGAGACCCGACTGCACCCGACTCACTCTCGACTCCACCCGACTCACTCCCGACTACGGCAGCTCTACTACGTTCCACCACTGGCTGAGCGTAGCTTGACGCCACGTCAGTAGACGTTGCAGCAGAGAACCCAATCGAAGCAAGGTGGACCATATACTTGAAGTGCTTCTCGTATTCCGCCTCTGTCTTCGCATACACAAGCAAGCTCACCACCCCTCCAAGCTGCTTCTTCTGGGTCTTGTAGAATCCATAATCCGCAGACGCAATTTCTTCGCGCAGATACTTCAACACATGGAACTGACATAGCAGCACAGTCACACCAGTAAAAGCTTCTTTCAAGACAGAGAGATCCGTAAAATCTTTGTCCACCAGTACACATTGCAGCCTCGACCACGCCGGATTGTTTGACTTGAATTTTTCCAGGGCCGTGAGCAACGTAGCGTACTGCTCATTCTGAAGAAGCGCGTGTTGGATAAACTGTCCCTTGCCAAAGATATCATGAGCCATAAAAGAAAATACTTTGTACTTGGATCGATTGGTTCCATGCGTGGCATCTATCAGTAGAACTTCAGGGAACTGCTCGTACAGCAATCGCATATGTCTGGTCTGGAGCGTGATACACGTAGCTACTTTCTGGAGAATAACAACAGGTAATCTAAATATATTTTGCCTAAAAATTGTAGCAAACAGGTCATTTACCTTCTTGTTGATATCGTTAAGAAATATTCGACCAACATTACCGGGTTTGTCGACGAACTCCTTCATCCATTTTTTCAGGCGCTTCTCGCTTGAGGATGGACCATCTTTTATCTCTCGCGCTTTCAGTTTGCGAACCAAGTTGTGTACGTCTTGCGAGTTCGGATTGCTATTATACTTGTCTGTGATGAACCTTAAAATACCGGTCTTCTTGGCCCCATACCGACGGAGCACGTCAACAGTTTGTATGGCGCCATCAGTCAGCGCTATCCGCTTGGAAGAGTGGGCTCTGAAAGAGTTTTCATGTAACCGATGGTTATGCTCCAGCCGACAGCGTGTGATTCTTACTGCAAATGTCTGGTTGGCCGAGTCAACTAACTGCACACAAGTATTTATCTACGTAACATGATTACCCGATTAGCATCAGATTACACCCGTCTAGACCCGACCAAACAATACTTTCCTTTGCCTGGCAACCCTTCGCTCGAGTCTCTTGACGTGGTCTCTTCGAGGCTTGAGACTTATAGGATCCAGCGTGAGTGCAGATGAATGTCCTGGAATACTGCACCCAAGACTCAGGGATAGGTGGTGCCTTTGAATGCTGTTTTCGAATTCGCTCGTTGCGCTCAGACACTGTGGTGTTACTTCGGCTCCGGAAGACCTATCGTTGATACACAAACAGAATTGGTAAGCACCTAACGAGAAAGATACAATGATCTCAACGTTCTCATCGTTACCTGAAATGTTTGGGCTGAATAGGCCGCCAAGTACTGGTCAAAGGCTCCCCACGACGAAAACTCAACCTTGTTTGGCGATGCGGCCAACACACGACTGGGTCCACCACTTTCGCTTGTGCTGCTAGTCGACTCCGGAACGTCTGAAACACTCCGAGCCCCCGACGAGCCGTCTTCCGCCGAATCAGCACTACTTGCGGCGGGCGTTGGCAACCAGATGTCGTCCTAAGAGTCCTGGGATCTCTCAGACTCACCACTGTCGCTCTCTTCCAACGCAGCGGCCCCCGTCAACGGCCGCTTATGGGCTGCGCGCACGCGGAGACCCATTCAGCCCCGTACGGTTCCCGCTCCCCCCTATCGAAGTTTTGTGGCTGGCAGCGCACTGATTCCAACGGGTATACGCAATATACGCCGTACGGATGTAGCTCATCGGAAAGATTGTGCAGGGGAAGGGTAATCTAGTCGGGCGAAATACTCACTGTCTTTATTTTGTCGTCATCACCCTAATAGAAGACCCCTTTGTAAATTTCACCATTCCCCCCAACACCGGTACGGCAGCAACGATAATGTCTGGGATCCAAGTGGAACTCCAATCTGCACACGGTTTCGTGCCGCTGCTCGTGGTGCTCTTGTTGTTCGTGAACTTGTGGGCTGGCATGAAGGTTGGCAAGGCTCGCAAGCTCTACGGCATCGAATACCCTCAGGTGAGGCTCAGAGGTGCTGTAGCACAGCGCAGCAACGCACTGAAAGATAATGTGGCTGCTGCTGTAGATGTACGCGGAACAGAGTGACAAGAACGCCAAAGCCTTTAACTGCGTGCAACGTGGACACCAAAACATCATGGAGAACATCCCGATCTTCCTCGCTCTGGTCTTCACGTCATCGTACGTCGTAGTGCGCTCCCATCCTCGCAATACATTGAGACGCTTGCACTAACGGATGGTGTGATAGGATCTACCGCCCTCAGATCGCTGCGATTGCTAGCTTTGTGCGCATTCTCGGTTTTATCGTGTACATGAGCGGTTACTCGTCGGGAGACCCGAAGAAGAGAATGCAGGGAGCATTCGGTGCGTGATGATTTTAGTCATGGCTTGTGTTTGAAAGTGTAACCATTGTCTGTTTCGTGCGCTATGCTGCTGTAGGCTACCTCGGTCTGCTCGCGAGTCTCATCTTGAGTGTGGAAGCGAGCCTGCGCATTTTTGGACTGCTGTGAGATTGTCCACTGACATGAAGAACCTCTCAACTATCGAGTGAACAAGCTGGTACTTACGCTCTTGGAAGTAGGAGAGTAAAGGTGCTGCGAGCGAATCTGAGCAGTTATCTACTTGCAATGGTTAATAACTTGACGACGCCAATTGCCCTCCGTTTTGCAGCATTCATCAGTGCTACCTGAAGTATTTTTTTCAGGTGTTCACTTATTGCTTGATTCAATTGCGCCAGGCTACAGAGTGGTGACATTGTCTATCGCTATCACGACCAACGAGCACAACTGTAGTGAGCCGGGCCAAAAAGACCCATGATTACGGAAGGCACACCCCAAGCACTTGCCAGACCGAAGGTGCATTATCACGAGCAACCCCGTCATCATCCAAAGCAGCCGTTAGCGATCACTCTCATCCAAGCCCATAGCTAGGAGCTCGATTGCCTTCATGAACTACGTTGTACAAATTTTCATGAATCATTTTACAATTTGCCTCACAGAGACATCTCTTTTGACTCCTCACCCAGGATTGAGTTGAATCCAGTTGGAACTGCAGCCTGCTCACGGCTTTGTCCCTCTTGTTGTAGTGCTGCTCCATGTTGTGAACACATGGGCCGGTCACCAAGTAGGTGTGGCTCGAAAGAAATATGGAGTCGACTACCCACAGGTACGATTTCGAGCTGCCAAGCTGCTGCGTTGAACTTTCGTCAATCCAAGGCCTATGAATCGCTTAATGGTGCTGTGATATCGTAGATGTATGCGGAGAAGAGTGAGAAGAATGCCAAGGCGTTTAGACTGCGTCCAACGAGGACATCAGAACATTGTGGAGAATATCCCTTCCTTCGTGGGTCTGTTCTTCCCGTCGGCGTACGAGCGAACCTGGACCTGGTTTATTATAGTGCTTTTTAGTGCTTACCGACTGCGCGTTATTTTTTTACAGGTTGTACCGTCCCCAAGTAGCTACTGCCGCGGGATTGGTGCGCATCCTCGGCTTCGTCGTCTACATGCGCGGCTACTCGTCGGGTGATCCGCAGAAGCGCATGCAGGGGGCATTTGGTACGTTCCTCGTCGTTTATTTGGCTGGTACCACCCCGTTACTTACTGCAAGTACTCACAGGCCACTTCGCCCTCCTGGTGAACGTTGGTCTGAGCGTCGAGGCTGCGCATGCTGGGCATCCTGTAGTTGAAGTGATCCGCGTTAGCGCAACATAACGTAATTTCACCTCTTCCATTTGCTAAAATACAAATCGATCTTCATCCAATCAAATAACGTTATTATTTTCCTTATTCACCAATTGCCATCGTCTACACATCGTCAAACCTGGTTCACAGACCATCGCAACAATGGGAGGCGAAGTGGCCACCACGTCGATAGCTGTGGCCATCTCGGCCGCCGCCGCTGCGGCGTTTATCGTGCAGCGCCAGCAGAAAAAGAGCAAGAAGCCTAGTAAAAAGGTTATGCCCTTCCCCATGACGCGCACGCCGCTTGAGCGTGTGCCGTTGGACCAGCTGCCCAAGCTCAAGAACGACCTGCTTATCCGCGCGCTACGTGGCGACCGCACGGAACGCGTGCCCGTGTGGTGCATGCGTCAAGCTGGACGGTAAGTCAGCGAACCTCCCAATAGGCTGATTTCTAGTGCTTAGTGTCTTGTTGTTGTCTCTATCGAAGCCACTTGCCCGAGTTCCGCGAGCTACGTGACATGGGCTATGATTTCTTCACGGTACAATAATTACAATTACTACGAACTGTCATAGTCTTGTGGCTAACCACAGCTATTATATTATCCTAGATGTGCGGCGTGCCCGAGCTCGCGGTGGAAGTGAGTCTGCAGCCTCTGCGTCGCTACCACATGGACGCAGTCATCATCTTCTCGGACATTCTGGTGATCCCGCAAGCCATGGGCATGGAGGTCACTATGGTGCCCAAGGTCGGACCAGTGCTACCGGACCCGATTCGCAAGCCCGAGGACATCGACAAGCTCGACCTGAACCCCAACATCGAGGAGAAATTGGGCTACATGCTGGACGCTCTCAACTTGGCTCGTCAAAAGATCAACGGCGAGGTGCCACTCATTGGCTTTGTAGGAGCTCCGTTGACTCTCATGTGCTACATGGTTGAGGGCAGTGGAAGCCGCACGAAGGCTTTGCTCAAGACGTTCCTGTACCAGCACCCAGAGGCATCTCACAAGCTGCTCCAGGGCATCACAGACGTGTGCGTCAACTTCATGTTGGCGCAGCAACGCGCTGGTGCTCAGGCTCTCCAGGTCTTTGAGACTGTGGGCGCTGAGGTGCTGACTCAGGACCATTTCTACGAATTTGTGTTCCCTTATTTGGTCCAAATTGCGGACCGTGTCAAGGCCGAGATCCCCGATACTCCCATTGTGTGCTTCTGCAAGGGCACCCAGTACGCGTATGAGAAGCTTGTGGCTACTAAGTACGACTGTATTGGTCTGGACTGGCAGTCTGACCCGGTTGAAGTGCGTCAGATTGCTCGTGGCCGCGTCTCGCTGCAGGGCAACATGGACTCGAGCGTCATCTACGCGTCTACGGACATCATCTACGACGAAGTCAAGAAGATGCTCAAGCGTTTCGGTACGCAGAAGTACGTGGCCAATCTGGGTCATGGCTGCTTCCCAGACATGGAACCGGCGCACGTGGACGCCTTCATCAAGGCCGTGCAGCAGATCTCGCTGGAGATGAACTCGCGTTAGACCCAAGTTGCTATTCTTCAGCTGTCACCTGTGTTGCAATAGAAACGAAGGGAATACTTACGCATTCATGATAAAGAAAACAAAGGTTTGAAGTTCGTTGTTAACTGTTAAACTATGTTGCTAACATTTTAACTAGCTGCTGCAAGCATCTTTGGCGAGATATCGAGTGCGTCAGCGAAAATCTAAATAACAAAATAGAAACGAGTTAGGAGTCACGTTTCTATAACCTTCAGTATATGTCGGACGCACCGTGAACATCTTGCCGATGTTGTCCATGCGTTGTCTTTGCTCCTTGTCCATAAGAGTGTTCTTAGCTCGAAGTTGCTCCAGTGCAACTCGTTGATCGTTCGCTTGTGCGTCTGCAATCTCGAGTTTCTTGACCAGCAGCTCGATCTGAGACGTCATGCTTTGTGTCTGCTTCTCCAGTCCAGAACGCATTTGAGTTTGCTGCTTCTGCACTGTACCAAGTGCCTGCTCCATGAGTTCCAGATCATCAGTACGTTGATGAGCCTGTACACGGGCGTCTGCTGCTTGTCTCTGGGCGACAGTATCGAAATCCTGCAGACGATCTAACATGTCGTCGACATGCTTCTGCCAATTCCTACGCAGACTATTTGCCTCTTCACAAATCTCCGAGATGCGACTACCTGTGTCACTTTTGATCTCGTGAAGTCGGTCTTTGACGTCCATTACGTCGCGTTGCAATTGCTGCATCCACTCGACGTTGTGGCTGTGTGAAGCCTTTAGGATCTCGTTATCTTTCGCCCAGTCTCGCTCTTTGAGACCCCATATCTCCATCGTCCGCTTCAGTTGCATCACCTCCGTGTGTGTGGATTTGTGGATCTCGCCTTGACGCACAACTTCTGCGTCCATGTCACTAAGTTTACGTGTCATTTCCTTGCGAAGGCCGTCCACTTCGGCCATTAAAACATCCGAAAGAGTGTCAAAGGCACTGCGTAGTGCACGAATCTGCGAGTTTAGAAACTCAAATGTCGCCTGAGACTCGACTTCAAGGACTAACTGGTCCGCTGCTTCACGTTGCAGCTCCTTGACTGCACGCTGCAATTGATGCATATCTGACAACGGCTTCTTTGTCTTGGCCAGACGTGAGGCCGTCGTCTGCTTCAATGATATCGACATCGCTAGAACCTCGTGAAGTGACGAGTAGTTTGGAAGGTGTCGGCGGTTAATAAACGACTAATTTAATTGGCGCGTTTCGAAGCGGTGGAAAACGAACAGGCTCCTCCTGTGCTTGATGGCAGCTCGTGGCTCCTTCGCCTTCCTTGTTTCTGGTATAATTAACTAAGCTTGTACTTTGAGGTTATTACGTGTACCGCAGTCCGTAGTCGTCTTCTCCGTCGAGTAGTGACATGGCTTCTTTGTCTTCTGCGGATAAAGTTGTGGCTTGCACTTCTGGATCCGGATCCCATTGATACAGTACTTTGCCAGCGAAGATGGTCAGGAACGCAAACACGTCTACGTACACTGACGGAGGGATCCAGTTGCGTAGACCATCGTGAAGGTTGATGATGCCAAAATTGTCGGGGTCTACTTGGTACCACGCGAGGACGATAAACGACGTCAAAAAGCCCACCAGCGTGCATCCATACATGGTTGAAACACTCGTAAGTCGGATCAACTGGAGCAGCAGAAGGTTCACGACGATGTTACTGAGCACGTAGAGTAGTAAGATCGGTAGTCCCAGCTAATGTAGTACAAACACGCAGAAGGCGAGTGAGCATCACTAAACATGAGCTGTAAACACAACAACACTTACGTAACAGTGATCCGTGGACACCTCGCTCTCGCCTTGTATCAGACACATTAACCCGCTGGTTTTCTGGTCGAGATGGAGAAACTAAGCAACAGTTGTTAAAGATACTTCGTTAGAAATAGTAAGATGGGTCCAAATTCGGCAAACGTTTTACCTCAGCATCAAAGATAAGCGGAGCTGCTAGCAATCCAGCAATAAACTGGTTGACTGAGACCCAGGCGTTCAAGTACGACATGTCCACGGGCTGGTCACGAATCACGCGTTCTTTGTACAGCATTGACAGTGAGCCTGGAATGGCTGCAAGAAGGTAGAACAGACTGCCACACCAAACTTGTTACACGCGCCACCCTCAAGTATACTTTTGATTACTATACTCGCACCTGTTCCAGCCAATCTCCCGGTCTTCGAACTCTTTGCTATGAATGCTGTAGCAAATAGGGTCAGACTTTACGTACTGCATAGCGGAATTGATGTTTAACGTACTCTTCAATACAGGGAATTAACGAAAGAATGAGTCCGCCCGTGATAATTAGCATGCCTACGACTTGGGCTCTTGTGTATCTGGAATCAAAAATACGATTTAATCAGCATAGAAGTTGTGATTTTTCATTAAATATAAATGCGTTCCGTACCTGACACCGAAGAACGCTGTCGACATACAGGCTGACACTGGGATGGACGCTTGCATGAATAACAGCGTCTGCGTCGGGTCTGTTCGGCCGCCGGCAATAAACAGCATCAGACCCTGTTGCAGCATTCACGCAACAAGTTAGCGATGATCGCTTCATACTCAATCAAGCAACCTTACGTGAAGGAGATCCAGCAACCCCATCACGAAAAAGTGAAATTTTGGGAACTCCATCCCATCTTCCTCCAAAATATCCTACGATGCAAAACAAACGTCTTCAGCATCTTCTTTTTAGCATTTACCCAATAGTAATAATCACCTCGTGCGTCGCCTTGTAGCTGACAATGCAGAACATCGGAGGAATGTACAGAAATGTCATGAGCTGACAGAGGAAGTATCTGGCCACATAAACCACTGTCCGTCAGTATGGTTATTGCCACTAAAGATACCGTAGCTTTGCGCACCTGTACGACTCCATGCGGTCCACCATGACCTTGAACAGGAACCTCTCAGAGGACATCGCCAGAAGCAGCAACAGGATCGCTCCGAAGGACAGCAGGGACTGAGTTGCATAATAATAGCAATACAAATATTGTTTTGCAGCTGTCAGTACGCAAACAATCAGGTGAAGCTGCTCTAATAGAGATGCTGATTGCATTTCATCGGTCCAAGAGCTCTTTGGATCGTTTGAAGAATCCGCACCTTTCGTGAGCAGATGTGATAGGACTTGCCGGTCCTGACATCGATACCCAGGTGGATAAAGGGCGGTGTACTGAACGCCATGATGCTGCTCGGCCTCCGGTCGGAGGAGATCCGCGTTGCGTTAGCTCGCTTTTGGGTCTGAGTTCGAATCGAGGTTCGATGGTTGTCGCATATTTCTAACCTTGATTGTGTGTACCACCTAGCATATCTTTATTTTTTGGATCATTTACCAGTTATTAATTTTTATATTATGATAATAGCTATTTCAATAATACTTGTTTAATGACAGAACTGCCCTGGCATTTATTTGTTCGTGGATCTGGAGCCCAAGTTGGTGCAAGCAGACCAGTGGCTTACTGTACAGAATGGCTCGAGTACTCACAGCAGAAAAAGCAAAAGAAGGAATCGATTCGGGTCACATTCATGTTCCTCTTTTTCTCACTTCATTTTTCTAACATAGTTTCTTGGAAGCTTGTACTTAAAATTACTCGAGTATAGACACCCAGGCACAGAGGTCGAAAAAAAGAAAGAAATTCATCCTAACCTCTTTCCGCCTAAAAATCTAAATGCTCCTGCAGATTTCTCGTGATTCGCCGTTACAAAAGATGAAAAGTGCTTATTTTTGAACTGAATAATGGAAACGGATGGCTGAAGCGTCGAGCAGCACAGCCATACTCGTTCAGTGGTTTCTTAGAACCCCGACGCGAACAGCACAATGAGTGAGGTGGTGAGTCCAGGTGATTTGAGGTTGTCCTTAAATGGCAAGAAGACAACTCAGGACAACCCAGTGAACTCGGAGGAAGCGCGTCAAGCTGCTCCTGCACAGTTGGGGAGCACACACAATGATTTTGAACTTCAGAAGATTACGGAACCGCAAGTAAAGGAGAACAAGTGGAAGTTAGCATTTCGTCAGCTCATGTTCATGAAGCGCATGAACATGCAGTTCAATGACCGAACCAAGAACGAAATCGAGTTGAGACAGCAACATATTTCGGTCAGCTGATAGAATGATATCTAAAATTCTCTTTCTTGAAAGCTAATATGTGCAATGATGAAATGCAGCCAACGTCGCTCATTTGCAGCGTACCGTACTTCAACGCGTTCTCGGCGGAAGAAATCAAGAATTTAGTTGCAGCGAGTCGACGCGTCCGCTTACGTCCGGGTGAAACGTTGTCGCTGGGCATTGCGAACGCGAATCTGCAACAGGAAGGCGATTTCTGCGTTGTCATAAGTGGCAACTTAGCCTTGTCTAAGGCTTCTGTCCCAAGTACCATGGCACTGAATCAGGCATCGCTTTACCCGCAACTCCGACTTGGCATTGGTGACTACTTCTCTGTTCACGACTCATCGGACATGAAAGTGATAGCGATGGAGCTGGCAGAGTATCTGACGATACCTATGAAGGTGCGTCGTTGTTGTGGTGTTTTTAGCCACAAATTTAAAACTTATCCTCTCTATATTAGACTATCTTGGAAATAAACGCCGCAAGTGCCGCGCTTATCGATGCAGACAAGAACGACTTGGCTCCTGAGGCAAGTGAGGTAAAAAAAAGAAATCTGTGGCAAAACAATCTCTTCTTTTGGTATCTAAATCAATTACTTTTTCTACAGATGGAGAGTTTCAAGAAGTGGGCGTTGCAATTCAGCCTCATCCGACAGAAAAGCGAATATCCTGCAACCGAGCGTGGTGGCTTTGCCAACTGCTCTGTCAAAACCTTTTGCAAGGATCATTTCCCAAATATCACGCCCGAGAACGAGCTCGATCACACTCTTGAATACCTGAAAAACGCCTTGACTTCAATTTTCTCGGCCCGTAAAGTGAGAATCTATGCACTCGACAAAGTCAACAACGCGCTTGTCATCAAGGTACTTCTAACCCTCTTCACTGTTATGTATTGTCGGCCTGATGACTTTATTTTTTGGGTCAGTTTTCTGACGAACGACTGTCGAAGAGAAGCGTGGATATTACGTCAAGTACCGGGCAGCGGGTTCTCGAGACGGGCGGGCCGATTTGTGTTAAAGACGCGGTAGAGTTGCTGAGAGACGAGTTAGATGAAGATGACGTAGCTCGGGAACTCTACCAACCAGATACTATCGTTCTAGCAGCTCCATTCTTCGAGTTTGATGCCATGCAGACTAATGGCGGCTCAACGGGAACTGCCAAGATTGTGGGTGTGTTGGAGGTCATCATTGAACCCAGCGATCATGAAGGCGATGTGGGCTCTGCCACCAGCAACGACTTCTGTATCCTTGAGTTTGTCACGGAGGAGATTGGGCGCTATCTCTTTTTCCACTACGAGCGCTTCTTTTACGTGTCGTCACACACCGATACAGCGCCACCTGGTGCTACTGGAACCTGCGAGTTAGAGTTGTTCCCTTCTCCGCCCGAAGGTCCAGTTCAACAAGACCATCGCCAACTCGTCCTAAACATCGGAAAAACTCACTTGAATATCTCCGAGACTATTTCCGTCGCGAAAATCAGCATCCAACATGGATCGACAGTTCTCTATGAGACCAGCACCTTGCTGCGGTATGAGTCACACCGTGACTCACATGGAGACAAATCGCACCTGTCTTCAACTAGTCGCGAGGTCACTTGCGACCCCAGTGGTGGTATCGAAATGGGTCTTCGCTTGATCGATATGCCCCACGGCTCGCACTTAAAGTTCACCTTTACGACTAAAGCAGGTGACGTGATTGCGTGGAGTGGACTTCACTTATTCGACTTTGGACACACATTACGAACCGGAAGTACACTCATGGAGATCGTGATGCTTCCTGCGGGATCGGGAATAATCACGCCTCTTGACATCGAGAATTGTTTACGCCATGACAAACTCAACCGCCACAAAGTTGGCAGTATGGAGGTCACGCTGGAGTTATCAGGCTCGTGTCCTCAATCGTTTGCCTTCTCGAGCATCTCCTCAAGCAAGAAGAAGAGTATCGCCTTCCGAGCGTCTATCTTCTTCAAGCGTGCTAGTGAGCGAAAGTCCGAGTCTCGTGAGATCCTGTCTTTAGAGACTATTCCAGTGGACAAGCAAAGGCTCTTACAGCGACTGAGAAGAGACCCGCTGGTCGATCTGTCAGCTGACGATCGCACTTTCATTTGGACTTCTCGACTGATGTTGATGGAAGATTCGGCACTGCTCCCTGCGTTTCTACTGTCCGTGGATTGGGGACATCGGGAGCAGGTGCTGGAGGCGTATCGCTTGCTGTTGCACTGGAAGCAACCGACTTACCTGCAAGCTCTCCAATTGCTGAGTCCTCTCTATTCGGACCCTAAAGTGCGCGCTTACGCTGTTCGATGCATGCACGCGTTGCCCGATTATCGACTGCAACTGTATCTACTGCAGCTAGTTCAGGCGCTGAAGAACGAACGTTACCATGACTCAGCGCTCGCTCGGTTCCTACTGATGCGTGCATTGACAAACCCGTCACAGATTGGCTATTTGCTGTATTGGTTTCTAAAGGCAGAGTCACACAACCAGCAAACAGCCGAACGCTTTAACCTGATCTCGTCCCAATATCTTCAGCTTTGTGGAAACTACAAGTTAGAGATCCGTCAGTCGGTTTACGTGATGAAGAAACTCGAGGAGGTCGCAGCAATCGTCAAAAGTGAGTCCTCATCCACAGCTCGTAAGGAGAAGTTGCACAAGGCATTGGAAGCTGTCGTCTTTCCTGATACCTTCCAGCTGCCTCTGCAACCACGATCTTACTGTACTCGTGTTATTGTGGAGAGCTGTCGAGTGATGGAGTCGAAGAAACGTCCACTGTTCTTACAGTTCGAAAGCGCCAAAGCGCAACATGGCCGACCGTATGTGATCTTTAAAGCTGGCGACGATCTCCGTCAAGATCAACTGGTTCTTCAGATTCTTCGCGTCATGGATGATCTATGGCGTGAGGCTGGACTTGATCTCTGTCTATTACCGTATGCTTGCATCTCCACGGGTGACGAAATAGGTATGATTGAAGTGGTTGGTGATTCGGAGACACTGGCGAGCATCATATACGCTCGTCACGCAAAGTCGATAACAAAACTTGGTAGGAAACTCAATGCGGCAAAAGATGCTCTTATTAAGGACGGCGTTCTCTCGGAGTGGTTGTATAAACAACCAGGTTCTCCGACGAACAAAGCACGAGCCACTTCTGCTGATGCTGCACTTGATGCTGTATCGCCAACCGGCTCTGCTCCTAGTAGCCCAGCGAAGGATGAAGAGCGTGCTCGATCGATTTCTTCGTGCTTCCCAAAATTGTCTCCTCGTCGCCGTAAGAAATCGACGTCTAGTCGAGATTCGGAAACAACGCAGAATTTCGTACGCTCCTGTGCAGGTTACTGTGTAGCAACATACGTTTTGGGCATTGGAGACCGCCACAACGATAACATTATGTTGCAGCGTTCAGGAAAGTTTTTCCACATCGACTTTGGCCATTTTCTGGGGAATTTCAAGTCGAAATTAGGTGTCAAGCGTGAACGGGCCCCGTTCGTGTTTACCCCTTCGATGCTAGACACAATGGGAGGCAAGAAGAGCGAGAATTATCAACAGTTTCAGCAACTCGCATGCGAGGCGTTCCAGGTGCTGCGTACCAACTCGAACCTTCTCATTACATTGTTGGTTTTGGCGCTTACGTGTGGCATCCCCGAGCTTCACAGCGCTAACTGCATCAAGTGGGTGCACAAGACTCTGATGCTCGATCTGCCCGATAACGAGGCCTCCGAAGCTTTCAAGAAACTCATTCACGTGGCACTGCACACCACAACTACCAAACTCAACGACGCCGTGCATCTTATGGCGCACTAATAGTACCCACGAAATTACACGAAACAGAGAAATTAATACATGAACAACGAAGAAGGTCAACTAAAAAAAGAGAAAATGGTTTGCGAATCTGATGACTCTACCTTATCAGACACAATAAAACACCACCAACCTGTTTTTCTTCTTAAAATCAGACAGCTACAGTACCGTTTGATGCACTTTTGCAATAAAAGTGCATCACAATTGCATCCAACAAAAAGTGCTGTTGCTATCACTTCTCAACCGCAGACGAAAAGCTACTCGAAATGCAGGACGAGGTGGCGCAGCGTACAGTGCTGCGCTCTCGTCGCAATTCCGACTTGGATGATGCTCCAGAGGTATACGGCAATGAACCCGGCAGTAACTACGAAAACCGCAAGTGGAGTATGGAGGAGACAGTGGAAGTGGACGACGACAACGAGAGCCAATGGATCAGCAGTCCACACACACTGACCGCTGGGTTGTTGCTTATGCTTTGGATCGTCTACGCTGCTTTCCACGAGCCGGTGGCAACGCTCGAGGATCCGAACGAACAGTTCGCGGCCGACGTCAAGCGTGGTGTCAAGTACGCTTGCGTCTTCTTCCTCACGTACTGCAGTCTGCAACTACCCGACGGCCACTTCGTGCGTCCACACCCAATCGTGTGGCGTCTTCTCACCGGTCTCTTCATCCTCTACGAAATGTTACTGATCGTTCTGCTATTCCTAAAAACACATGACGCTCGTCAGTTCATGAAACTCTTCGATCCCAGTCTTGGTACGGAGCTCCCGGAGACGTCTTACGCTTCGGACTGCAGGGTATACACGCCCGAGAACCCAGACTCGCACTTTGCCAACATCAAAGCGACGTTCTACGATCGATTCGTAATCATGCACTTCTTCGGCTGGATTGTGGGCTCCTTAATGGTACGCAGCAAGATGATCTCGTGGATATTAAGTATCATGTTCGAGCTGTACGAGATCACGTTCAGTCATTGGCTAGCCAACTTTAACGAGTGCTGGTGGGACCACCTCTTCTTCGACATCTTCACATGCAACGCTGCTGGTATTTACTTGGGCATGAAGATCTGTCGGTACTTCGAGATGCGTCGCTTTAACTGGGTCGGTATCCGTAAAATCCCCTACTTAACTGGCAAAGCTAAGCGTGCGTTGGCACAATTCACGCCAGCCTACTGGATGGCCTACGACTGGAAGATTTTCCGATCGGCAGAGCGATTCTGGCGTGTGATGTCTATGGTAACGATTCTTTCGATCATGATGCTCAACTCGTTCTTCTTGAAGACGGTGCTGTGGGTACCTGCAAGCAGCAACGTGAACATTTATCGTCTTGCCGTGTGGTACTCGGCAGGCAGCTACGCAGTGGCGGAATACTACATCTTTTGCTCGTTTACTATGAACTACGAAGGCAAGAAGATGCCTGTGATGAAGCTTGGACCACGTGCTTGGCTGGGCATCGCCGTTGTCGTCTCTGAGGTGCTGGTGATCATCAAACATGGCCAAGGGATGTTCACGGCGCCATTCCCGCTGTACGTTAAGCTCATCTGGGCAGCGATTTTCGCTGTTCTTGTGTTTGGCTCGACAATCTACTTCAAGTGCATCAACAAGGCGGTGGATGAAGACAAGAAGACGCAGTAATGTGCTGAAGTAGCAACAGGGTAGATAGATAACGAAAACTTCAGTTTTGAACTTGAAGTGATGTAGAAGAACCATTCCGCTTAACTGATAAGAGTGGGAAAGCAAACATGCAGTCCATTATAAGTACTGTATAGCCCTTGATTACACGCTCGTCGGAAAAGATCGTGCTGCAGAAGACAGGGTACGAAGGGTACGCCCAAAGTTGGGGGTACCCTATGTTACTCTTCAGTCTTGTCATCGCTCTCTGTAACTTTGACACTTAGTGGTGGAAAAGACGGAGGTTGGAGAAGGCCATAGTGATGCCGAACTCCTCGCAGGCAGACTTGACGTCGCCGTCACGAGTGCTGCCACCAGGCTGAGTAATGAACTTGACGCCCAGCTTAGTGGCGTGGTCAATGGAGTCACGGAACGGGAAGAAAGCGTCCGACGCCAGACTCACGTCCGTTAGGTTCTTAAGGAATTCGTCCTTCTCGGCAGTCGTGAGCGGCTCCGGGACAGTCTCGAAGAGCGCGTTGAACGTCTCGAGCTCAGCAGGCGCCATGTCGCCTTCAATGTAGCGCACACGGGCGTTCACACGCTCCTGGCGCTTGACAGTGCTCTTAAAGGCAAGACCCTGCACCTTGGGGTGTTGACGCAGGTGCCAGATTGCCACCTTACGACCAGCGAGCTTGACGCAGTCCACACGGGACTGCTGACCAGCACCCACACCAATCATCTGACCGTCCTTTGCATAGCCGACCGAGTTCGACTGCGTGTACTTGAGCGTGATAGCAGCAAGAGCCAAGTCGCGCTTCTTGGCGTCTGTCAGAGCACCAGCACCAGTGGTCTGCACGTCAGCCAGGTGCTTCTCAGCCGAGAAAATGACGTCGTTACGCTTCTGAGCAAACGTGATGCCAGCAACCTCTCGGTATTCGATGTCCGGCAGCACGAAGTTCGGGTCGGCTTCAAGCATGATGAACTTGCCGCCCTTCTTAGCCTTAAGGATCTCAAAGGCCGCCGGCTCGTAGCCTGGGGCGATGATACCGTCGCTCACCTCACGCTTAAGGATCTTAGCGGTAGCTTCGTCCACAATGTCGCTGACAGCAACGAAGTCTCCGAACGAAGAAAGAGGGTCCGCGTTACGAGCACGCAAATAAGCGAGCGACAGCGGGGTCAACGTCACGTTACCGACCTCGTACGCAGCGTGGAGACCCTCCTCGAGGTCCACAGCGACAGCAGCACCAGCAGGGCTCACGTGCTTGAACGAAGCAGCAGCGGGGAGACCAAGAGACAGACGCAGCTCACGCACGAGCTGGTAGGCGTTGGCAGCGTCCAGCAGGTTAATGTAACCAGGGGTACCGTTAAGTACCGTGAAAGGCAGCTTACTACCGACACGGCTGAGGATGGCAGCAGGGTTCTGGTGCGGGTTACATCCATACTTAAGAGGGAATTCGTTCTTATACACGCGAGTGACGGTAGGAGCCGAAGTGCCGAGCTGGCCGTTAAGCCACGACGAGATGGACGAGTCGTACGACGCCGCCAGAGAGAAGGCGGCGGCGGCGCAGCTGCGACGGAACTCAATAGAGGTGCTGAGCGAGTCCTTGTTGGTCTCGAGCTCCTGGATGAGCGTCGGGTACTGCGACGGGCTGGAGCAGATGACCACAGCCTTGTGGTTCTTGGCCGACGAACGCAGCATGGACGGACCACCGATGTCGATGTTCTCGATGCACGTGTCAAAGTCGCCACCGTTGGCCACGGCAGCCTCAAACGCGTAGAGGTTGAGCACCACTAGGTCGATGTTCTGGATGCCGTTGGCAGCCATATCCGCCTCGTGCTGAGCGTTGCCACGCACACCCAACAGACCACCGTGGATCTTAGGGTGCAGGGTCTTAACGCGGCCGTCCATGATTTCGGGCGAGCCAGTATATGTCGACACATCTACGACAGGCAGCTTGGCATCGCGGAGAGCCTTAGCAGTGCCACCCGTGGACAGCAGCTCCACACCGTGCTGCGATAAGTACGTGGCCAGCTCCACGACGCCAGTCTTGTCCGACACGGACAGCAGCGCGCGCTTGATAGGCACCAGCGAGGCCTGCGAGCCTGTGGACACAGCGTGCAAGATGTGGGCCATGTGGACGAGAGTTCGGATGACGCTTGGGGTCTTGAACCGGATGCGGAATGAATTTCGTGGTGTTCGTGCACCACTGCTTTAGAATGCGTGTTCAGGTTATTCTAATTGGCTACAACGGGCAGGTCCGATTATATATGATTGGATGAAATTCGTTTAGGCCAATGAAAAACGCGAAACTTTCGTTGGATTCGGGTGGCCCACATCTGTGAGTTGAAAGTTGAAGTTGGTGCATGTCATGGCACATGTTCGATACTCTTGAACGATGTTCCACCAAGCAGCTCATAAGAAGTGGTCTTGTTGAAAAACTGTGCTCTTTCGCTACAATAAGAGCACCAACAGAATTTATAAATCGTCATGAAATTGAAGAACCTGGATTGCCTTGCGGCCGGCTAAATATTCGCGATCTCAAGTGGCTCAGTCGAGGGAGAAGCTACTACGACCGCAGACTGATCAACCATCATAGCGTGTCCACTTGCATTACCTGAGTCCGACGACACGACATGTGCTCGCGCAAATGGCCCAGCATGCCTAGATCGATCCCCACTCACTGAAAAGTATCTTCGCATCCAAGTTGTCTGCAATATTTGTGCAGTGTTGCCGTCAACTAGCATACGCACCCCTTTGTCAAAATTCCACTCGTCATCAAGTCGAAACGAGCGTGACAAAGCTCCACCGACGACAGACTTGTCGTCCCCATCGCTACCATTGAAAATTGCAGTTTGTCCGTAATCCTCCCGAGGTTCTTCAACATCTTGAATACGGAAAACGTGAAAGGTGGCTGGATAAAACCGAACGTCAGTGGCAGTAGCAAGAGGCGGAAGAATAGAGGCTACCGCGTTATCGATTGCTGCTGTAATGCAGCTTTCGGTCCGCACGTCAACATCAGTACCAAGCGTCCGAATGAGTCTTTTCAGATCACCTACATAGGGTGCACCAAGTAGTAGTTTTTGCTGCAATTGCTTGGAGCTCTCCCCACTCACTGCCATTGCTAAACGAGCCTCTTCACACTCGGACGAAGAAAGTCGTCGAGAACACACCAAATCTGTCGCTCGCAGCTCCCCTCCAACTTTCAGGAGACTAAACGCCAGCTCCAGAACCGCATTTTTACTGGCAGGAAACTCCAACGATTGGAGCGAGCAGTTGCATATAACGAGATCAAGCTGACCTTGAAGACTCTTGAGTTTGTTACCCCCTGCAGACGAAGACTGGGGCATACCGCTGTATTCTCCCATGATGAACGTCATGTTGACTGTTGGTAGCCCCAACGTGCTAAGACAGAAACTTTCAGCAATTCGCTCTGCTGCGTAAATGTTCGACGTGCTTGCTTCAACACAAGTCACAGATCCACTTGCACCGACCGCCTGGGATAGGACAAAAGCGTCCACAAAACTGCCAAGTCCCACGACAGCCACCCTTAGTCCACCAATAGCACCTATAAAGTCATCGTACTGTTGACAGGTGCAGACCAATTCACGAATGCTCCGAGGTATCTGCTCCAGTAGTGCAGAAGCTGATGAGCGTTTAGTGTGATGCCATTGAGCAGAGCATACTGCTGCTCTCGTTACTGCCACTGAGCTCTCCGAGCCGCTAGCCAATTGTAGATTGACCACCTGCTGAATCGACGGTGGCAAGAGATGCTCATCACCTCCTACCGCGGAGTCCACTCCACTTTGGCGAGATATCGATGGCTCAGTCACGACTTGAGTTTGTGGTAGACTAGTCGGTATAAACCCTGCACTCCACGCACCCATTGAGATCGACTCAGAACTACCAACTTGCTGATGTAGCGGCATCGTGCTCTTGCCAGATGGTTTGCGCAAACGAATACAGTGTCGATGCTTGAATCGCGCCAACCATCCGACCGAGAGAACAAGCATTTCATCCGACACTCCATGCACTTGTTTGAGTCGTTGTGCTTCTTCCAGAATCAACGCCTCCGTTAAAGGTCGACGTCGAATAGCACTCGACGGGGTTCCTTTTTCTTCGGCCACAGATCCTGTATTTCCACTACCAGCAATCTCTGACTGAGATTGCTCTAGAAATCCAGAAGCATCTTTATTGCTGTCCTCTTCACTAACATGGGCGGTGATGAACTTGACCAAATCAGCCTCGAACGCCGGGAACAGAGGACGTCGACGTCGCTTCATGTTGGGGTTTCTTGGTGCTTCGCCGCCCTCGTGGCTACCCCGCAACAGCTTCCAGTCCATGGCGATGATTTTAGATAATGTAGATCGACCGCAAGACCAGCCGAACTGGGCAGCCACCTCCCGTCGCAGAACCCCCTGAGACGGCACTAGGTCTCCTCGAGCCTTGCAGTCTGTCACCTTTTGCTCGCAGAAGCTCTTGACGATGGCCTTCTCACGCAACGTCAGTGCCGTCCGCGATAATTTCTTGCGCTTAGTACCTGGTTGAGGCGGAGCCAGAGCCTCTGCATCGTTGTTAGGGACTGCATGGACGTCGTCCTCGTTACGCTTGGGCGTGGTGTCAGCCATGCTGCAAGAGCTATTGAGTGGTGTTCTTGTAGAGAGAGGATAGAGTATGATTGGCTAAAACAAGTTTTAATCCAATAAAAACTCATAGTGCTGCAGCATGATGGCGACGCTGTCCTCGTCGTCTGTGGTGCTGGCAGGCGACCCCGCACGCGTCAAAGCTGTGGAGGAGGAAGATGGAGACTACGAAGAACTCATCCCGCCCGAGAACTTTGCTATGATTGAGAAGGGGCTCTATAGAAGTGCGTGCTACGAGCTGTAATTGGGCAAATAAGGGAATAATTGCTGAGAGGGAGTGACTACTGTAAGGTGGATTCCCTAAGAAGAAAAACTTTGCCTTCCTGAAAAAGTCACTTCAGCTCAAGTCCATCCTGACACTGGTACTGGAGGACTATCCGCTGGCAAACACGGAGTTCAACAAGATGCACGGCATCAAGCTACTGCAGTTCGGCGTTCCAGGAAACAAGGTCGGCCGGAACGCAACACCTTTTTAAAGTGGATATGGGCTGACGATTTTGACGGCTTGATGATGAGCTACTGTAGGAGCCTTTTGTGGACATCCCGGAGGATGGTATTGTGGCAGCGCTGAAGGCTGTGCTAGACAAGCGCAACCATCCCATGCTTATTCATTGCAACAAGGGAAAGGTACAGGCACTTGGCTTTTAATGTCTGCAAAATGAGTGCAATCCTGGCTAACCAAAGTGATGTTTGTAGCACCGCACCGGCTGCCTGGTCGGATCGTTGCGTAAGGTGCAGCGCTGGGCGTTTAGTTCGATCTTCGACGAATACATCCGCTTCTCTGCCCCAAAGCCTCGAATGATGGATCAACAGGTAAGTTGAGAGATTTCTGCTAGCGAAAAAGTGATTATTTTGTACTAACGTAGTGTATTACTGGCTAGTTTATCGAACTATTTAAAACCGAACGGGTTACAGAGGAAGAAAGTCTGGCAGATCATCTACCTAACTGGCCTGGCTTGTAGCTCGTCGGAATTCGACTGACAAAAGCACTTAAATGTATCTCTAAAATGCATGCAGATACCTTCAGCTCAGCTTTCGAGTCATGAATACTACTGTAGTATGCGCTATCTCGTTTACGAACTTTTTGAAGAAGATTTATCCAACTTTTATATCGCAGAGCTATTTGCCGACGGACAAATATTCTGTATTTTGCATTCGCTGCATTTGGGACCTCGAGGGAGACAAATGGTCTGTCCGAGCCCAACCAGCAGCGGGTTGATGGGGCCCCAGTGTTCTTTTGGTAGCCAATCCTCAAGCTCCTGCAATTCAAATTCACCGAATCAGATCACTGCTTCAAAATCAGCCATGCGACTGATTTCCTACCGCTCGAGTCTTCTCAGGATCTTGTGACTTTGGGTTGTTCTTGTTCCATGTCTTCACCCACTTGAGACGATTTGAGATACGATGCACATGCGTGTCCACGCATATTCCCACAGTACTGTAAGGCAAGCGCCGACGTGGTTAGTATTAACTAATCGAAAGCATGTACGTAAACATACTTCTTCCACGCGCAATTCATCACAAGCGTCGCCATCTTTGGCCCGACCCCGGGAAGTGCTATCAGTTCTTCGTAAGTGCTGGGAATGTCAACGACATCTTTGCCCTCCGCCTCCGCCTGCTTGGACAAAATCAATACTGTCTGCTTAATGTACTTGGCTTTATAATTGAAGAAGCCCACGGGTCGAATCAGCTGGGCGAGGTCGTGCTGGTCGATCTCAAGCATCGTCTTCACTGTCAATCCTACACAATACATACGGCAATCAGCTTCTAGCACTACTCTCAGCGTCAGTTATAAAAGAGGTAGAAAATGATCACACCATGCTTGATAAGACGACCCATGGCTGCGGCGTTCACAGGGTCTTTAGTCTGACTGCTCAGCATGGCAGAGATAAGCACGTGGAGGCGACACACATGAGGCGGAATGTTCTCATCGAAGAAAACCTGCAGTCACCACATTCTTACCAAGCCCTGAGCACCTTAACTAGAGCCATGTGCGCACCTCGCAGCCGTATTTGTCCACCTCGGCGTCTTTCTTGGCGCGCATCTGCTCGATTCCACGCAGAATCTCCTTCCAGCCACTGGGCTCCGCACGAGGAGCTCGCTCCTTCTTCGTCTTCGCTTTCTTCACTTTCTTCTTGGAGATCAGTGAAGTCGTTTCATCCTCCTTTTCGCGTTTCAAGCCTTGTGCTTCACCCTCTGCTCTACGTGGCAGACTTTCCGCTTCGTCCTTCACTACGTCATCTTTTTCTACGAGCCCACTGCTGCGTAGACGCATGGCGGCCGTCGATAGAGGAAACGTCCCAACAATTCGTAAAGGTTTCGCGAGGAGGACGCAGCGAATCATGGATTAGCTCTATTATGTAGCGTTTAAGCTTAATTAAGGGATTTCGGCATGAAGATACCGGTACTGTTCCTAATTTAGGAATTCTAAATGAATGACACGTCAGGCCGCTAACGTGTTATTGAGGCTAGATAAAAAGAAACGCCGCAAAAATTATCTGAAGTAGCATTTTAACCTTGCAGTGCTTCTAACCGCCATCTCGGATAGGCCTCGCCATCTCGGTCTTCGCTGCTGGACGCAGCTCTGTCTGCTGCGATGTGAGAGAACGACGAGCTTCTCTTGTCAGCGATGCATTTTTCGAAACTTGCGAGTTGGGTCTGTAGCTTTTGTGCTTGTTGTACGCGGCCAAAGAATGTTAACATTTCGAGCAGACCCCCAACTTCTCGTGCCAACGCTGCATTCGGTCGCAGCTCCGAAAGCTGCTGTTCAACGTAAGATTCCTCTTCGGCGCTGCCCTCCTTCATTCTCTTCCGTCTCTCTCGACGAGAAGGAATACCTCCATGCTTTGCTTTTGTCTTCGGCTTCTTGCCAGAATCCCCAAGTGCTTGGGTAGCGTAGAAGTGACTCGCAGTCGCCAATGACAGCGACTGCATCGAGAAGTTCCCGATGCTTGCGGCACTGTTGTGACTGCCTACTGAGCTGACCGAAGCGTAAGAAAGAGCGCTGTCTGCAGCGCTCGAAGCCCCAGAGCGAATACTACCAGCATCAGTATCAGCGTCTCCCCCATTGCCCTGATCCCATCGACTACCGTCGATACCATGCAGCTTGAACAGCCGCTTCTGTTCACGAATGGTAGTCAGACGCTTCCAGTACTTGTCGTACTGTTTCTCCTTGCGTTCTAACTCCTCCTGGACATCGTCGCAGCATTGCAGCACGCCAGGCTCGACATCGCTCTCCACAAGATCGTCACGTCGATGCAGGTAAGCTACACGCAACGCCTCTCCCCACTGCTGATGTGTAACCAGTAGCGCCACAGCCTCATCAACGTCGTTGCAATACTCGACGTAGATTCTTGACACAGCAAGGATATCGTCCACCGCTCCGTCTTGTTGCTGATTATTCAAAAGTTCTTGCGCAAGGGCGTAGGCTTCATTGCGTAGTTTGTCGGGGGTCTGATCACGAGCGCTTAAGGCCAACGCCATCTGCCACTTACGCGCAGCGACGAACGAACGTCGGGCCTTTTCCGTCTCCGATGCCGCCAAATAGACATAAGCCGCAGCCTCGTACGTCTTCTCTGTGTCCAGGAACTCGCCCTTCAGTCTCAAAATTTGTTGACGGAAGTCACGGCCACTCTGCTTCACTGGAGCTAGGGGAAACAACTCCAAGGCCTGGTCATACAGCTCTCCTTGCTTTATCAAGTCGAGAGCCATATCCTGCAGCTTGTTCGTCTCCGCCTCGTCATCACTGCCGCTCTCCTTAATCAAAGCAGCCAAATGAGTCAGCGCTCGCGCGTGGCGCTCAAGATGGACGTCGATCGTGTACTTGCGCCAGTTTTCGTTCTCAAGACGTGCCACGCGATCCAAGAACGGAACGTATTCCTTCGGATCACGCTGAGAATGAGTCGCCACTGTTCGTACCAGGTCCAGATCATACAACCCCAAGGCCTCCGAGTACAATCTATCCACGTCTGTCAGCATAATTAAATGCTTGATAGCACGCGTAGCCGTCGCTCGATTATCAGAAGAGCTCTCTTTGTCAGGGTGTAGCAGCTTCCGGATTCTACCAAGTGCTGCATCAAACCGTGGGGGCGACTGCTTCACTGCGCTCGTAATGAAAGGCAGCAGCAGAGCAGCTTCTGCTTCCTCGCGGTCACTCGTCAGCTCTTGGATTACACGCATAAACTCCCGACACACCGTGTTGACTTTTTCTTCGCCAGCGTACACAGCATCGTCTTGAATGTCATCGGTTGGCTCCACCACGTTAAATGGCTCCAGTAGCGGGCCATATTTCGTCGCCCACACGTCAACGACATGCAAGTTGGTGACGAATAGACAGAGTCTGTCACTGGTAACTGCAGCTGGTCTTGTCGAAAGAAAAGAGCGGACAAGATACTGCGAAAAGCTCTTGATGAATGCCTGAGGGTTGAAGTCAACGAGGATATTGAGATCCAATCGGTGGCGACGACAGATCTCCAACGCCGTCACATAATCTCGCGCTTGGATTTGCTTCACGACTAGTGCTAAGACCAGTAGACGCGGAGACATGCACTCGAGATTTCCACGTGGCATCTGAACAATGACATTGGCTCGCTGACCCACCGTAGCAACAAGCAAAGCCCCGCGTTCAATGGAACGCGATTCGAACTTGACAGCCTGGGAGCCTGAAGCCTGGCTACAGGAAAGATCCTGGATACCAGACAGCGGCGCAATACGAAGCTGAGACTCACGTCCTTGCGTCGTAAATAAAAGCACTGAAGTCAGCGCACTGTAGCGGAATGATGAGCAAGCGGATGCCAATAGTTTGTCATTCACGAACAACCTCGCACTTGAACCTTCAAGTCCAATCACCAAAATGCTACCCGATTCGTTTTGCTGCTTGGTAGACAGCACAGTCATATGCGAGAACGCCGGGGACTTCGTAGCTACTGGAGTCGGCACCAGCTCATGATCTGGCAAGATATTCAGCGTGTACATTGCCCCACTGTGAGTCTGAACAGCGAGCTCGACCGAGTTTTCCTCAGTCATCACTTGGTCATCCTCGGACAGTACCTGCTGCACTTCGCAAGCTCTTCGGACGTCGAAGAGCTCAATGCAATGAACGGTTACAGCTCCCTCGCTCTCTGTCTTCGTGTTCATCGAACAAAGTACCAGTTGATCTCGCCATCCAGACTTCCCAGCGAAAAAGAGTCTTCGGGACTCAGCGTTAAAATGAACCCAGAGCAGGCTCGAGAGCGTGGGAGAATCGTCATCTTGTACAGTGTGCGCCACTTTCACGATCGTCATCGACATCGGCGGGTTGGAGCTGCCGTTTCGAGCAGCGTTCGGTGGAGGTGGCAAACCTGTAGCTGACGCACGTGTATCAGCTGGTGTAAGGTAGTTTTCCACAAATATCACGTCTCCATTTGCTAGCAGCACTAGCAACGTCTCAGTCTGCGAGTCAAAGACAACCGAGTTGATCGCTGCGTCAAATGAGGCTTGGAGAAGAGCGAACGGCGGTGGCACCATCGCACGATGAAGTGGTGTAAGCAGTAGCTTCGATCCATCAATATCTCCCGTCACTGCCACACTCTGACGCTGTGGGTGAGTGCTTGGAAAGGTCAACCGCTCGGCTTCGACGCTGCAGATATCCCACGCAAACTCGTGCTCGTACAAAGTAAGCGTCTGTGCATGTGACGAGCACGCAACAATGTTCAACCGACCGGCGATCTCTTCGTCCCATGCGAAGTCGACAAGTCGATCACCAGTGCGAAGTTGGAGCTCCTGCTTCAGATACCAATGATAATTATTCCTCGACCATAGTTGAATGACAGATCGCTCGTCATCATTCGTTGGATGCAAGGTCACTGCAATTGTATCTGACGTCGCATTCCACCGCACACTACCGACCTGATACTGCGGTGCACGGTACGCCGCCGGGATGACAAACTCGCCATGTCGCAGGCCATTGCGCTCGAAAAACACCACAACGAATCTCCCTTTCCTCACTTCGCAACTCGCAATCAATGCGAGAGTCTGACTCCAATGCAGCACCGAGCCAAGGTCCGGGATTGCGCGTCCATCCTCGAGTCTTCCCAGTGCGTGGAACTCGAGCTGCTCGGTGAACACCAACACCTTCTGTACCACACCAACCTCCACTTTATCATTCTGTTTCCGCTGTGCTGCAATATTCAATGCAACAAACTTAGCGTCTTCACGCCAACAGAGTTCACAGCACCAATTCTCTTCGCTCGGTGCAGAGGCGCTGAGCTTCAGCTCCGAGGGCAGAGAACGCTCGATCTCCGTCTCGTAGAGCACCTCCCAGTCGTTACTCATAACCAGCAGCGATCCTGCACCGGTGACAAGCGCTAACATTTCCTGGTTGCTACTCCATGCGACTGCGCGCAGTCCGCTGTCCACACTACCGACTTCTTCGCCGTCCCTGGTATCCAAGTCCACCGAGACGAGCGCGCCACTGGTAGAAGCGCACACAAGCATTCCCAGCTCTGCAACGTAGTTCATCCATCTCCAGCAGCCTGCGGGTGAGTCGTCGTCCTCCACGAACTCACGCAGATCCAGAAACAGCTCCAAGTCTTTGGATGGAGAGTGCGCATCTTGTTCGTCGAGTTGTAGTGACTCGATACGGCCACTAGAGCGCAAGAAAAACACGTGAGCGTCGCCTGGGATTGAAGCAAACGCAACGCAGTGGTCGTCAGAGGGTGAAGATGCACCAAGCGCCCACACGCGACGCTGAAGCGACACCAAGTTGCGCATTAGATTAGAAAGGTACAGTGACCACCAAAACCACTGATCCTCTGTAAAATACCGTAATATAAAATAGTAGTAGTACATGTTTGTCTTCCTGAGTAAAGAAATGCTACTTTTGAGCAATAGATCATGGAGTCGAAAACCCTGCTCAATGCGCTTTCACCACAACTCCAAGCCTTGGTAGAGGCCTCTCTGGGGGATAAGCTGTCGTCCTCAGCAGCATTGAAGCCCGGTCTTGAGCCTCCGAAGCCCCGACCTATTAAAATGGAAGTAAAAACGCAGTCTGACGTCCCCAGTCCCGTCGTCGTGGACGTCACACATGATGCAGCAAGACTCAGTCCATCGGATCTCTTCGGTGCGTGTGCAGTCATACTCTGGTTTGATCTACTAACCTGACAAAGGCTATTGCCGCACAGCTCTGAAGCACCCAGATTCTCCCGGTATCGTGGTAAAGGAGTCTTTTTTGGGTCGTCAGAGTGCCCTGGCAGTGAGAGACGCACTGACAGAACTAGCGACGAGCGGAACCTTCCACGAAGCAAAAGTCGGCGCTGGTCAAAGCTTACGCAATGACCGAACGGTGCGAGGGGATAAAATCCACTGGATTCAAACTCCAAACGGCTTGAACGCACCAACCGAGAGCGTTGACCCCGCCATTCTGCACCTACGCAGACAGGTGGAGAGTCTTGTGTACGGACTCAAGAAAGTCTCACCCAAGCTGGATCTGCGTAATGTTGTGTCGACACAATTTGCAGTCTTTGTACGTTAAAAATTTGTCGCGTGTGTATGCGTTTGTGCTAACGTGGCTAATGAAATGTGCACTTAGCCAGGAGACGGTGCCCGGTTTGTCAAACATGTGGACACCTACTTGAACGCCCATAGGAACGAGCAAGAAGGTGTATCCAAGGACGGACTCGTCCGTCTAATCACGTGTGTGTACTATCTGAACGACCGATGGGAACCAGAACATGGCGGTCATCTTCGCGTTCATCTAAAGGACTCAAAGCTCTTACCGGCTTATCATTGGGATGTTCCGCCCAACCTCGATACACTACTGGTGTTTCGCAGCCTTGATGTTGAACACGAAGTGATGCCGACGTATCGTGAGCGCAAAGCGGTGACGATTTGGTATTACGGGAAGCAATCCCAAGCTGCTCCAGCTTCAAGAACGGAGACCTCGTCCGTACCGCGTCCGCTTCCCTCAATTACAGGAAGCAACTCCGACCATGCGGAACAAGCATCCGTTTTCGTCGCGATCCCAAGCTACCGCGACTCGGAATGTCGACACACAGTCGATAACTTGCTAGCACAAGCAACGTTTCCAAAACGCATTTCTATCGGCATTTGCTTGCAGACAGACGATGAGGATGACACTCAGGCTTACTTGGAGAGCAAGTATTCGACGAGCCAAGTTCGTGTGCATTGGGTAGATTACCGGGAAGCTGCGGGTCCGTGTGTGGCACGTAGACAAGCACAAAAACTGTATCAGGGTGAGGACTTGTACCTCCAGATTGACAGCCACATGCGTTTCCGGCCTGGATGGGATTGCTTTCTGATCAATGAGCTGGAAAAATGTCCCTCGGCGAAGCCAATCCTGACGACATACCCGCTTGGCTACACTTTGCCGAACGAGGTACGAGGCTGTGCTTTGATGAATTGATGTCTTCATCTCCTAATCAATTTGTTCTCCTAAAAGATATCGACAGAATGCCGTCCTACTCTCCTCTGCGCTTCCTCCTTCGACAGCCTTGGCATGCTTCGCCAAATCAGCAAAATACTAGCAAAAAAAACGACTAAGTGAGTATTTTTCTGCTTCTTTCACGGGTAAAGATATGGCACGGCTAACATGGTGCATGTTGCGTTCTTAGGCCACTTCCGTCGCTGTTCTGGGCTGCCGGCTTTGCATTTTCGTCGTCAGCAATCATCGAGGAAGTGCCGTATGATGAAACTCTACGCTTCTTGTTCTTCGGAGAAGAATCTTCAATGGCTGCACGGCTGTGGACTTCGGGTTGGGACTTTTTCACTCCTTCAGAAGCTGTGGTGTATCACCTTTGGACTCGAGCCTATCGTCCTGTTTTCCAAGAGCTGGAAAGTGATGAGACCAAGCGGTATCGAACTGCCTCCGCTCACTACGTCAAGCAGCTGCTGCGAATTGACCAGACGCCAGTAAATCAAGAAGACACGCTTACTGCGGGCAAGTACACACTAGGAGCTGAACGAAGCTTCGAGAGCTATGAGAAGCACATTGGCGTTAGTTTCTCCAGTCGAGTTTTTCAGTGGCGAGCTGAGTGGGGAGATCTCGATCCGATCCTGTTCGATCTGAAGTCTCATGCCGGCAAAACTCTCACTCCAGCGTGATGTTGCGAATGAAGGTCGTGATCATCAAGTTGTTCTAAGCGTTTTTACGTGGTTGTCCTCTAAAAGCCGTTAAGGGGTTAAGCTCAGCTCATTTGCCGTCCTCAATCAGGCGCTTGCCGAGTGTGAAGTAGTAGTCGACCACACACTTGAGGTCGTCAAGCTTGATGAACTCGCGTGGGCAGTGGGCATCCGTGATACTTCCAGCACCGACCAGGTACGCCTTGCCGTCGAAGTTAAAGTAAGGAATGTCCGTGTTGAAGCACGCAACACCGGTGTCGTAGCCCTCCACAGTAGTCAAGTGAACGGGGGCGTTGGAAGTGTAAAGATTCATCTCTACGCGTCCAGCCACGATTTCCTGCAACCACAAAACAGTAAGTTAGTACAAAAGGCCAACAGCTTGAGTACCGGTGCAAATGCTTACCTCAACTCGCTCATAGATGACGCTGGGCTCAGTCACCAAGCGGAACATCAGCATCGCCGACGATTGCTCAGCCAAAGCGTTGGCTGCTTGTCCTCCATTGAGCAGGCCGATGTTAAGGTCCGTGTTCCCGTATTCCTCGGTCGTTGGCCAGTTTTCCTTCTTCAGGGCGTAAAGAACATCGATCATCGGGTCGATAGCCGAGTCACCCAAGTGCGGGTATCCTATAGCACAAACGATAAGAGTGAGCTCGATATTTAAACCTCAAAGTGCTATCAACTCCGTACCGCTGTGTGCTGCCACTCCCTTCTGCGAGAGTTGAATTTTGAGAACTCCCTTCTGCATCTTCGACATCTTGAGAGCAGTCGGTTCGCCAACAATCATGTGAGCGGGCTTGACGTTGAGCTCATTAGCCTTCTTCATGCCGCTGTGGTCCGTTTCTTCAGACACGACAAAGAGAACCTGAACGTCTTTGCCGAAACCTGCCTCGGCGAGCTTCTGTGCTGCGATCATCTGACCGGCAATCAAACTCTTAGCGTCACAGGCACCACGGCCATAGAGCGTGGTGCTATCGATACGAGGAGGGAGATACGGCGGAACAGTGTCCATGTGCGAGTTGAACAGAAGACGCGGGGTCTTGCTGTCGCTCCGCGTAGCGTACACGTTGTATCTAAATAAACAGCAAGACGCCAGTACGTCAGCATCTACGTGCAATAACCAATTACGAGAAGTAAGTACGAACCTGTCAGCCTTCACAGCAGCATCAGCCTGCGGAGGAACCTTCTGCTTGTGCACACGCCATCCACGAGCAGTGAGCCAGTCAGCAATCGCCTGGCCCACCGCAGCTTCATCGCCTGAGGTCGAGACGATGCTGTTAAGACCGATGGCAAGCTTCACAACGTCGTCACTGTTGACGTCTGCCAGAGCAGCAGCAGCCTCGATCTGAGCCTTGTGCTCATCGGACACAGCCGAGTCATCACTGTTCGAGGAGCTCTCTTGCTGAACTTTCTTCGAGACCGTCTTACGCCACTTTCCATTTACTGCCGTCGCCTTGACGACGCTCGATCCGTTAGCTCCGAAGATAAATGTACCCATAAGAGACGACGGAGTGGAGAACTTGAGCTGCTCCTCTTCGATGTCCACCAATGCAAAGTCAGCAGCGTATCCCTTCTTAATTTCACCCTGTAGAATATAAAAACTCGTAATGTCAGCAAGATGCTCGTTTCTGGCATATTCACTCGATAACGATACTTACCACTCGCAAGTTGAGCGATTCAGCGCCGTTCTTGGTGCCATAACGGAAGAGAAGCTTCGCTAGATCGGTCTCTGCAGTGGAGTCCGTGCAAACACCTCTCCTGCTTTGATGTAGGCGGTGAGCGTACTCCAGCCAGCGCATTTCTTCGCACATGTCCACACGAGCATTGCAGTCGGTGCCAAGACACACACGGTCGGAGCAGCTTGCGATGAACGGGAAGCCATCTCCCAAATTACCCTACCTCAGCGTCAAGGCACAGTTTAGTACAGAATAGCAGCCAATTACGCTTCCGAGTACCATATATCTCACCTCCGTCAATGGACAAATGCACACGTTACCCTTCTTCTCCACGAACTGTTTCAACTCATCTGCCTTGGTCCACGTGCAGTGCACTGCTGTAAACTTCTCATCGATCTTCAGATGTTTTAATAGAAGACCCATGGGCGTTTCCCCATCGTGTGCAGCCTTACAGTCGTCCACCTCCTTCGTCTGCTCTTCAAGGTGAATGTGGAACACCAGCCCACGACGCACCGATTCTTCGTGCAGCTGGACAATGTCCGGTACCTCCACAGCACGCATCGAGTGAGCCACCACACCCAATGACTGAGTAGGATCGCCAGCCAGCTTGCTCAGCAGCGTGTCCATTTGCTTCCAGTAGACGTCGTGCGAGTCGACCTTGAAGCGCTTCTGTGATTCCACCATGGGAGCTCGCTGGAAGCCGCCGTGTTCGTAGTACGCATTCAACAACACAATGCGAATTCCCACGTCCCTGGCCGCACGCAGCACCGTCTCGTCGTACGCGAACTTGTGTCCGTTCTTGCCCTCGCCTGGTCGACCGTGATGGAAGTAGTGGAACTCACCGACACTTGTGATGCCGGCGTCGCGCATCTCGGAAAAGCATTGACGAGTCAGATCGTAGATCTGCTGCTCGCTCATGCCGCCCACGAGCTTGTACATCTCCTCGCGCCACGTCCAAAAGCTGCTTTGCGCAGAGTCTTTCGGGTACGTCTCTCCAAGACCGCGCAAGCCGCGCTGAAACGCGTGCGAATGCGCGTTCACCATGCCAGGTAGTAGCGCACGGCCGGGAAGCTTGTGGACGCCAGCAGAAGCGTCGACTTTGGCCGAATGTTTGACGGATTGGATCAAGCCGTCGGCGCCCACGGACACGTGCATGTTACGCTCGAAAGCCTCACCCGTCCAGGTGAGCTCAGGTGCCAGGACATACGCAGCGGAGGAGCTCGGGAGCTGCATTTTCAACGAAGAGTGATGGTGGTGCGCACGAGGAAGGCGGAAAGCAGAGTGATTGCGGAGATCAGGTGTCTGCGGGCCACGCAAAGTGCGAATGAGGGCTCTGCGCATCGACACAAATGCAAGAGTGTGGTGTCGGCTGCAGCGGCTACTTGTTAAACTGCAACGTCAGTTGATGTAGCGTAATTTACAATAACCTAACTCACGTCTGAGGACCTCAGATTTCTTATTATCAGTACAAAAGGAAGATGGGCAAAAGTGGTTGACGAAAACGGCCACGTCGCAAACAAAACGTGTATTGAATTATGCAAGTGATTGGTCGCTCTTTTTTATTCGCTAAAATAACAAAACAAATCGCTGATTGGACAGATCCCGCTTCAACATCCTTCCAGATGGGTACAGGTGCGTTAATATGATGCACATTTGCATTTTTGCCTCAATCACTTGCTGTTCTACCGCCGACGCCATGAGCTCGTTCCGTCTTCGTATTGCCAACGCGCGCCAGATCGTTCAAGTTTGTGCGAACGGCGAGCCGTTTAAGACCGGCGCGGCCCAAAAGGATCTGGCTGTGCTCGAGAATGCGTCACTTGTCGTGGACAAGGCAGGTAAGATCGCCTTCGTTGGTCCTGCCGCTGACGTAGAGAAGTGGCTGAGCACGCAGCTGCAGCCCGTGAGCTTTGAGAAGGACGTGGACGCTCGTGACATGGTCGTACTGCCGGGTTTTGTGGATGCGCACACGCACCCAGTGTGGAGCGGCAACCGTGTCAACGAGTTTGCCATGAAGCTGGCTGGCGCTACCTACATGGAAGTTCACGAGAGCGGCGGCGGCATCAACAACACGGTGCGTCACACCAAGAAGAGTTCAGAAACTGAGCTGTTGGAGCTGCTGCGTACGCGACTAGACCGCATGTTGCGTAGCGGTACGACGCTTATCGAAGCGAAGAGCGGATACGGTCTCGAGACTGACACTGAGCTCAAGATGCTGCGTGTTTTACACTCCGCATCGACGGGTGACAACGCACACCCTGTGGAGATCGTGTCCAACTACCTGGGTGGTCACTCGGTTCCTGACGGCATGACTGCTGCTGAGGCCACGGAGGATATCATCACGAAGCAGATTCCTGCTCTTGTGCAGGCCAAGAAGGACGGCACCATCTCGCCCGAATTCATCGACGTGTTCTGCGAGAAGGGTGTGTTCGAGCACAACGACTCTCACCGTATTCTAGAGGCAGGCAAGAAGGCGGGATTGGACATTAACTTCCACGGTGATGAGATGTGTCCGATGCAGTCCGGTACCTTGGCGGCAACTCTGGGCGCCCGTGCAATCTCGCACTGTGAGATGCTGACTGCTGAGGATCTTCAGGCTATGGCAGCGCACAAGCCAGAGCCTGTATTCGCCGTGCTTCTGCCTACTACCAAGTATATCCTGAAGCTGCCCAATCCGCCAGCACGCGACATGATCGCTGCCGGTGTTCCTGTTGCTCTGGGCAGTGACTACAACCCGAACGCTCATTGCCTTTCCATGGCACTGACCATGAACATGGCATGTGTGCTGTTCGGTATGACCATGAAGGAGGCTCTTGTAGGCGCCACCATCAACGCCGCTGCCTCCATCAACCGGTCGGCTACTCACGGCAGTCTCGAGGTCGGCAAGCAGGGCGACTTGGTCCTGATGCGTGCTACGCAGTGGGAGCAGATCATCTACGAAATGGGCGACCCTCCTATTGAACACGTAGTGAAGAAGGGAGTTGTCTACACGAAGTAGTAGTGTCAGTTCTGGTCGCATGTACAAGAGCTAGATGAGTTGTGCGAGTTTAAAAAATCCAATCATCTCAATAACAAACCGTGTTGATTGATCCGTTTTCTTAGTAAGCAACCAATACGCACTCGGTGTGATTCAGTACACGACCATGCATAGCGGGTGGCAGTCCGCTGCCCTACTGCGTGGGTGGCTGATACGTGTTCTTCTCATTCCATTCGTCCATCTTCTTCTCGATAAATGCGATAACCTTCGAATCCGGTACGATAAATAGGTGTGTGTCGTCCAGATCTTCAATTACAAACCGTTGCTACCAAGCACACACAATGCGAAAACGTCCATTAGCTACATGAACAACTGCTGGCCAATACCTTAGTAAAAAAAATCAACCTGGACCGCTGTCTCGTTGAGATGCAGCAGATACTGTTTTGTTGCCGGATCACTGTCAAGAACGTGGTTAGTTGTGGGGAGTATGGATAGTGGGTGATGCAAGGTAAACACAGACTAGGGATCTGAATGACGACATTCGTCCATTGCGGAATACGCCACGTACCACTTGACGAGCACGCCTTTGTTTGCGGTCGGCATTTTTTGCACCTTTGAGAATGTCAAGAAAAGAAATGTGTGATGTGGACACACGACATGTACGAAAAGCGTTCAGTGTAGAGCTAATGAGTTAATGAAAAAAAAACGATAAGGGGGAGCATTGAGCCAGTGGCATCGATTTTCGAAGATGCTATTGAGTGCTTCAACACTGTTAAAGCTGCACGTTATGTACATGTAAATGGCTATCGCAGCACCCTACCAAGTATCAAATGCTGATCGCTTTTGAGATGCATAGATACTGTACATGTACCAGTACAATAATACAACATTTTGCCAATTCGCAAATGGCTGTACCTACCTTCACAATGTGAAGCTCCTGAGTCGGGCGCCGTGACTTGGTGGACACGTCGAGCTGGGGCCGTAGGCGTCGGAGCCTTTTGGCGATACTTGCCGGATCCCTTCTTGTGAGATAATGTATTATCCTCACAACCCCTACAGCAGAACATAAATGAGACAACACTTGCTGATGTGAAGATTTTTCGCTGCAGAATTCGTCGAATGTGGAGAACAAAATCCTTGGGCTTACCCCACACAATAAAACGCAAAGCTATGGTGCGACTCCGTTGGCCGACTGCGGCCTTGCCGCTACATTCTAACAGGCTTGGACGACCTAGCGGCGAAGATATACCCGGCAAAACATTACCTATACACATATGAGCGGGATAACTGCAGCCTGCAGTCTGTAGGTAGTCCACTTCTTTAGTTATATAGCGCAGCATGTATCCGAAACGTTCTTCCCAGCTAGACCTCTGGCAGCTAGCATACTACAGTGACTGACTACAGAGTACTGTATTAGAATACAGCATCATACATGTAGCGTTACCACAGCCGTTATGACAACGCGGGGGATCGTCGGTAATTGTTGGCCAGTTCGTCAAGACGAGCAGTGCATTCCTAACAAATGTAGCTGGCCAGATTTATAATTTTACTGAAGAGATAATGCAGCGAAGAAGTGCGAAATCTTAACTTTATCTTTTGGGTAGCGATAAGGTGAAGTGAAGATACGGAAGTTTGCGAAACGTCTGACGTTCTCTCCGCTATTTTTTTTTACGATTGTACGTTTTTTGTACGACAAGCAGTAGCGTTTGGTAACTTGTGGTTGCATACGATAAATTTATCCTGCTGAGGTTACAACTTCAGCATGAAGTGCCAATTTGCCTTTGGTATATAATATCGAGTGAACACACATTCTAGAGTCATCTAAAGTATGTCCATAGAGGGCACATTTGAAGCGATAGGCGATGAGGCATGCTGAACTCTTGGAACCATAAGAACAACTATTTCGTAGCTAAGATCAGAACTGCGCCGAACTGACGGATTTTCCAACAAGCCAAGATTTGGCGTGCGTCGGTTGTGTTGGACTGCACCTCATTTTCTGTATGTGCGTCGTCCGGAAAAAAGTGCTGCTTATCTAATTAATATACAAGTACAGTACACTGTTGATGTATGCCGCAATGCGGCCCGCATAGGTACTGTACTGTATCTCCCGATCTGTTTCGGTTTGTTGTAAGTGCACTTGATTACTGCACGCATGTACACATGTACGCGCCAACTATTCAATTTCCTGTCGCCGGCATTTCTTTATCTGGAGTTGGTTTCTACGCCGTTACTCCTCCATTCGCACTTTCGAGCTCACTTCCTTTCGCAGATCGCTTATGGTGCGAGAATTTACGTTTGTGATCTTGTTGGTTCTCTTGGCAACCAGCGAGGCGCTGCCACCTGATACGCTCTCGAACCATAACCAAATGTCCGCACCATCGCTAAGTCAAAAGGTCAGCTCAAGTCACGGTTTCTTGCGAATTGCCAGTACGGCGGGTGGAGAAGATGAAGAACGAAATAAACTGGGGCCGAAGTTATTGATGAAGCTGAGCAAACTGGCGGAGAAACAGAATATGTATAAGTTATCGAAAAGGATGGAGCACAAATCTTGGCTGTCCGCAGGAGAAACCCCGCAGACACTATTCAAGAAAAATGGCTGGAAGGGGAAAACTATAGCCGAACTGAAGGCAGACCCGAAGTACCTACGATACGAGGGATTCGACGATGTTTGGACAAAAGCACAATACGAGAAGGGGACGTTGTACACACCTAAACAATGGATAAGCAAAATGAAAGAAGAAGAAAAAAGAGGGCAGCGTTAAAAAAGCTGTAATACAGTACTGTAGCATGGTCTGCCCCTGTTCTTCCCGATTAAGATGCAGCAGGACTCCTCCTTCGGTGTGTGTGCGTATTAATAGCTCCTGCCAGGAGCAACGCACACATAACGAAGCGAGGCGTTAAAGCAACCTTAATGTCGTCCGATCGTTTTCGATAAGGTTACTCAAATTGACTCTGGCAACCAAAATGTCATCCGATCGTCATCAATAAGGCTGCAATTTTGACACTGGCAACCTTAACGTCGCTAGTTAAGGTCGCACAACTTTTTACAGCGACCTTAACAATGCTCGGTTATGTACTACCTTATTATAAGTTGAGCCTAGCGCAGGTGTAATTTGGCTACGGAAACACGTAATACCTTACCTTACCTTATTATTGTTAAAAAGAAGTGACATCGTAAGACTATGTGCTCCAGCACACTTTAGGATGTGTCTTAGGACGCATTATCCTACACACAGAGTGTATTATAGGATAATGCGTCCTAAGACACGTCCTAAAGTGTCGTATTTGTTCTAAATTTTACAGGGAGATTTTCCTACTTCGTTACAGAATATTATAACTTGTGTCCTCCAGATTGTCCTAAAACTCAAATATTAACTTTCTTCCGGCCTATCTACGTAAAGTTTCATAAAAGTTACTTAACACTCACATTAGCGCGACTTATTGTCCTGATACCATTTCTACCATTTCTCAACCTCCAGCTAAACACCTTGGACTCGCGGCTACTCCTTCTGCAGATAAGGCGCTCGCCTCTCAGGCCTCTGCTGCCACCTACGGAAGTAGTGGTTTGTCCGCTCTGTCAAGTGTGGAGGAAGAGCCAGGACTGCGTCCAGCTCCAACCTGAGGCTCAGGTGCCTCCAGGACGCGATGCTCGCGTCCAGAAGCCGGACTTCGACAGACCATTGGCTGGCGAGCCGCCAGCCCCATCCTACTGCTAATCCTACGAACATATTACCGGGGGGTTTCCGTGTGCTGCTGCCCACTCTACAACTTGCGCCGTCAAGAGCAAGCAGTAGCACTCGACTTTTTCCCCTGCTGGACTTTCCGTCTCTGCATCTAAGCGCTGCTATGACTACTTCCTTCATCGTAATGGTCACCACACGGAGCAATCGAGGAGCGACCATCACTCAGGTTACGAGCGCAAGAAGGGAAGCTGGAATCCCAGTCCGGGATACGAAGAGCTCGCGCGCGTCGGACGAGTTGCAGTTGCCTGCAAGAGCAGACGAGGCAATCTCAGACGAAGCACCTACGACGTCGCATGCGTCATCTTCCCGAGCTAAGCAACAACTCGAGCTCCTATTGGCCCAATTTGGTACCGTTATGACTACATTGACCAATCAGCATCAAGTGCAAAACATTCCAGTGGAAACATCCACACGACGCTCACAAAGGCATCTCATTCAAGAATTCTCAGCGGCTCGAGGACAACCGCAGCGAGTGCCGACGCCGTACGGGTCCCGCCGAGGAAACCCAAGCATAGAGGAACTTATTGCCGGCGCCAGCACACGTCAGAGCGAGCCGCCAAGAAAGCCAAGACCGTCCGAGCCTGCAGCGCAGCCAGTCCAGACCGAGGCCGGGACCGACTCCGCTACGGACGAGCCCATGGTTGGAGACCACAGATACACGCGGTGCATGAACCAGAGCGGACACGTGCAGTTGAGCGCAAGACTTACCGACAACAACTATCAGACGTGGCGCGTCTAGATTTTCTCCATTCTCGACGTCGCACACCTCTTGGGCCCCATCATGGAGCGCGAAACGATGGCAGACCAACGTAACGAATGATAGCGCGGCTGTTTCAAGCAACGACTGCGTGTTGCTCAACGCGAACTTACGATGGGACTTAGTCAAGAGCTACAGATGCGATTTACAAGCGATATTCAGCGTGCTGATCCTATTCTACTGTGGTATACACTGGAAGATCACTTTGACAACCATCCCGGAGTAAATAGCATGTTTCTCAAGCGAGATATGCTAAATCGACGTTTGCAACGTGACGAACGACTTGACGATACATTCGGGACATCGACGACTACCAGCAGAGACTTCGCCGCTCGAGCAAGCAGCTGCCTGAGCAGGAAGCCGTCTCTATCCTATTGTCGAACACAGTGAGTGTGTACCAGCAGTGGTAAACGAGCACGAAGTACGCATTGGACGCGATGAGTCCATTACGTGGAAGCAAGCGATCAAGCGCCTTCGACTCGCAGACCACTCACGCCAAGAGACCGTGTTACAGCAAGGACGCGGTGGAGGTGGACGTGCCGTCCAGCGAGATGTTGCATTTGTTAGTGGCCGTGGAAACGGACACAACGACGGAGGAAGACATCGAAACTCGAGCAGCAGCCAAGCACGAGGCAACAACAGCCGCAACAATCGTCGCAGTCGCAGCTCATCGCCACGTGGGCGGCACAAGCGGCAGAAGAGCAAGAGTTCATCCAGTGCGAGGGACAACATCACCAAGCTTAAGGCGAAGACGAAGTGCAACACGTGCGGAGAGCAAGGACATTGAAGTGGCGATCCTGTGTGCCGCCAGCGTGGCAACAACAGCAACTCCGGCAACAACTCGAGCAACCCGCCGCGCAGGATGATCGATGTGGTTACTTTGAAAACAGCCACTTCGGCTGCACCGAATCAAGCTGAAGGACAAGAGCATGTACTTGGTGTGCGTGACAGCTTCAACTACAAGGACAAGGGCCAGGACATGGTGGAGTGGGTGTTGGATAGCGGCGCGCAGACCAACGTGTCAAGCGACCTTACCTTGTTTACGAAGCTGCACGAAGACTCAGTTGCAGAGTTAGTTTTCGGCAACGGCACCACCGAACGCGCAACTGTGGGCACAGTTCTTATGCAGGTGCTGAACGAGCACACGGGCAAGATCGAGGAGCGCCTCCTTGATTACGTGAGCTACGCCAAGTCGGCTGCCTACAACCTGTCTCGTAGACCAGCATGCAGTTCAAAGGAAACTTCAAAGTGCACGTCTCGCATGATCAGAAGACTACGTGGCTGGTCAAGGACACATTGATGCTGCGCTTCAAGTACATCCGCGGGATATACCGCATGTGGACGCCGCGCCAGAGCAAGAACGTGATGAGCGTCAAGGCCATAGAAGCTGAGAGCCCCATGACGTTGCTGCACAACTGCATGGGCCACGTGAACATGGAGACTATCAAGACTATGGCAGGAAACTATAACTTTGGCATCAACATGCAGTCGTAGCGTTTTGCGACCTATGAATGCATTCCATGCTTAGAGGCAAAGACGAAGCGCATGAGCTACAAGCGCAAGCCGTCTCGCTCTGCAAAGCCCTTGCACAAGCTTTGTGTCGACTTAAGCAGTGTTGGAGTGGATACAATATCGAATTCAAACAGTTTCTATTACTTATCGTCGAAGCTACGAGATACAAGTGTAGATATCTATTAGCTTACCAAGACGAAGCAACGGAGCTGATTCAGAAGCAGATTCGCTAGATCCAGAACCAGTTCCCGAAGGCGACTATCAAGATGCTGTTCTCTGATGGTGGTGGCGAATTCGTCAACACGCAGCTCGAGGCCTTCTGCGAGGATCTCGGCATCGACACGCTTTTATCTAACCCCTACAGCTCGCAGGAGAACGCTATCGTGTAGCGCACGAGCTAGACCGCCTTGCGGCAGGTCAGATCTATGCTACAAGCTACGCAAATGCCTGTTTCACTATGGGGAAAAGCCTTTCTACATGCAATCGAGACGCTCAACAAAATGACGACGCCGGTGTTGAAGGACCAAGTCCCCGTACGAGGCCCTGTATGGAGAGCGACCAGGCCTCAACGTGCTTAGCAGGTGGCGGTGCTTGGTGCACGCCCACATCCCTGACGACTCTCGGCAGCGAAAAGAGAAGCTAACCCCAAGGACGCAGATGTGCTACTACTTGGCTACAGCGAGAAGACCAAGGGCTACAAGCTGCTGAACCTGCGCACAGGATCAGTGACGACGTGCAGAGATGGAAACATGAAGGCACATGAGAAGTACACGGTGAGCACTGTGTATATTAAGCAACTTCTTGCAAACACCTACGCTTACGGAGACTACGACTTACCTGCGGAGATCCCGATCGTGCCGATCCGGACGACAATGTCTACGTACCTGCAGCTTCCTGCAGAGCTTGCAGAAAAACGAGCAGCGGAGATGGCGAAGCTGGCCACTGTTGGCGAGAGCCAGGACCAAGGTGTTGAAGTTGAAGCCGAGTCTGCGACTCGAAGTGGTGACCCGCAGCTACCAAGCGAGGACGCTAAGAAGCCAGCAGCTTCAGTGGGAGGTTCCAAGCGGAAGAACACTAAGGGCAAGAATAAGGTGAAAGCATGTGCAGATCGAGTGGGAGCCTCGAAGACCAAGGACAGTCGACGTGACGCTCACGAAGACGAGAACTGGGAAGCCGAAGTCGTCGCCAGACGCAGTGCAGCTATCTCGCGACCGAAGCGGAAGCGACAGCCATCTGCCCGACTCAAGGACTACTTAGTGACGAATGTGACAAAGCAGAACGTCGAGAATGTGCAGATCCCCATTAGACACAAGCATGCGGCAAGGTCAAAGAAGTAAAAGGAGTGGAAAGCGGCGATGCAAGTCGAGATGGACTCACAGCAGGCACGAAACTTGGGTGCTCGCGCGACGCACGGAGGCCAAGGGCAATCGTGTTATTTCGTGTAAGTGGGCTTACGCGCTCAAGAGAGACTCCACGGGCCGAATCAAGCGATATGAGGGTCGACTAGTGATCAGAGGCTTTCTACAGTGTACAACGCATGTGCATCGACTACAGTGAAACCTACGCACCTGTTATCAGGTTTGAGACGATCAGATGCGTGATCGTATACGCGCTGCAACGCGGATGGGCCGTTTTGCAGATCGACGTCAAGACCGCGTCCCTGTACGGTGATCGCGACGAGGAGGTCTACATGGAGCATCCTCCAGGCTTTGGAGAAGACTCTACGCGCTACGTATGCAAGGCACAGAAGGGTTTGTATGGGCTAAAACAAGCGCCTCGCGTTTGGAACAAAATATTGCACAAGTTCCTGACCTAGATCGGACTCGAGCGCCTCGACTCTCACTACGGACTCTACGCCAGGAAAGTGGGAGGAGACGTCACATGCTGCGCACGGTGTGCGTCGACGACCCACTGCTCCTCGGCCCTAGTGATCTTTGCGCTAAGGTTGCTAAGCAACTCAGTGACGAGTATGAACTCAAATCTCTCGGACCAGTCAAGTATATACTATGCGTGGAGATACTGATCGACAGCGAGCGTCGACATGCGGTATTTTGCCAGCGGCAACATATTACGGAGGTGCTGAAGCGATTTCACACGGAGGGTTGCAATGCGGTTGCAACACCTGAAGCGCTGCGCGCTGAGGTGGTCAAAGATGAAAAGGATGACTCTCCGCCCCCGTACCGAGAGCTCGTTGGTGCACTACAATATCTGGTCTCAGTCTCAAGGGCGGACATTGCGCACGCTATGCGTAATCTCAGCAAGTACCTGTCCTGCTTCGACCACACACACTACGCTACGGGAAAGAGGGTGCTACGCTACCTGAGTGGTACTCAAGACCACGACTTAGTGATGGACATTGCTACTGGGAACGACGTCAAGCTGACGTGTTACACCGATGCTGACTACGTTAATGAATCTGATGACCGAAAGAGTGTTAGAGGCTTCATGGCGTTCGTCAATGGTAACGTGGTTTCGTACGGATCAAGAAAGCAAGAGATAAATGCAAAGATTACAGCGGAAGCAGAGTATATTGCCATGAATGACGGTACTAGAGATCTACAGTGGCTACGTGGACTCTGTGAAGAGCTATGCTGGGAGTTTGCGACTCCGGGGATCATCGGCGATAACAAGTCGTGCATCTATCTGACTGCCAAGCCTGGCAAGCACAGCAAGAGCAATAATAGTTGTCGAGTGCCTATTAGGACACGCGGAGCCCGGCTTGTTTCGTCCTAAAGCTGATTGTGGTGTCCTAAATATCGGTTTGTTTATGAGCCGATTGCTAGTTTTTTTATCCCTGGTTTTAGAACAATAGGGAAAAAAAACTATGGAACTCGAGCATAGGGAGCTCGAGGTATCCAAATTTAGAAATAGTGCTATACGATGTTTTGTGTTATAAGCATAGTTGTCAGGTATGGACCTTAATTGAGCTGCTACAATATCAGCACAACTACATTTTGCAACGTGATGATTACAAGAAGCTCTCCGTTGGGGAAGCTTCAGGATTAAAAAATCCTACTAATCACTTCTCTTCTTCAAAGTCAGGTTTCATTACAGTCATTTAGCTGTGTTAACGACCACGATAATACTTCAAAGCAGGACATTTTTTTAACCTTTTTTTTAGCTGCATGAATTCCTCCATTCATTTATTTAATGAGCTTGGGAGGTCAACTATTCTTTAACGCTTCGACTCGATACTGCGACATTGCTGTATACCAGACCTGTTCTCCGCATAAGTGCACATCCTCGTCCGCGGACCCCTTCGTAAGTTTAGTTAGCACTATAGTGGTCTATTATTCTTTCTTGTGATATTTTGTGTATCTTGGCAGTCTATGAGGGTATGCAACATTTGTTACGTAGTCAATGAGCACTTTGCGTCATTGGAGTGGCCAGACAATTCTTCTATAGAGGTAAGTGGATGAACGGGATGATACTTCTTAAGTATCTACCAGTGCTGCGGTGGTTGATGAAGGAATGAACACCTTTAACTCTTAGACATACACCATTTACAAAAACAAAATCAAGGAAAGCTGAGCTATAGATATACAGGAACGAAGCGCTTTTTAAATGCTAGCTTCTTTCCACACGGTGCAGGATATCCTAAGGCGCTCCGCCGAAAAATCTAGGAAGCGCACTATTAAAGGTCCGTGGCTACTTGTAATTCAGCGAAACTCAACACTACACGATTAGGCTTTTTTCATGTGTCAGCGCACGATTTGTTAGTCTAGCGCATTCGAAAACGCCTACACTTTCTCTAGAATGGGCAACTGTCGCCTCATTTAGGGTGATCGATGTATCACTCTACTTTAAGTCACCGACTAGCAAAGCTGAGGCGTAATATGACTTCGTGATATATAACAATACATCTTCACTGTAATTCTTTGAGCGAGGCATACTGCATTCTCTTGGTCCAGCTCACGACATTGCAATTTTATGAGGGTCTACAGGCTGTAGTACAGCGAGACCTTTGGATCATTTTTTGGGTACATCATATAGCCCTATTTCTCAATTTGGGTAGTTCGAGCTCCGCTCCATAGCTTTCCCGACAATAGGACACTTTAGGACTCCTATTATTGTCCATTTCGTCCAAATTTACACTTTATTGCCTACTGGCCGAGCCACACGCCAAACTCACAGGGTGATTGGTCAAAATAGCAGCTAAGCAAATTCGCAACTCGCACGTCTTTAGCGACATCTTGCCTGGCGGAGGTGTGCAGTATTATACAAGGGTGGTACAGCGGCGTCTTACCTGGTGGAGATGTGCAGTATTATGCAATCGTGCCAAATCAATTTCGTTATGCTAATGTGATTGTTTGCAATGCTGGACAGAAAGAGCCTAGTCATTGCTCTCTCGTATCAGTGGAGGAAGCGGTAACAAGCCGGCATGCCCACCCCAACACTGAATTCATTGCCTCTACGGATTTTATTGCCTCGGATATTTGCGTAAGGACCTAGCTCGAATTTATCACAAGTCGGCAAAGACGATTGGGAACTGGATCAGCGTCTACGAGAAAACCGGGACCTACCAGCGGGATGAAGCAGGTTGCTTAAATCCATGATCTGGAGCAGCAGCTACGGGTGTGTTGATCGACTGAAATTATTGTATTTGTACCGTAGTGAGCTCAACGGGAGCATTGGACAAAGGCACATCGAAAAAAATTATGTGAGCTCTACAGTATGCAGCCGCTAGCCTATTTCGATGAAGCCCAGGAAGCTTTTCTCAAGGCTCATCAAATGAGCATTTCGAAGACATCTGTGTGGAGAATACTGCACGATTGTGGATTTACGCGCAAGGTGCTGGAGCAAAGAGCGATGCATATTAAAGAGAAAGACGTGTTTCGGTTAGTGGAAAAACTTAGCTCTGTCGACTGGTGCCACTGAAGCATTGCCTTTTTGATGAAATTTAATTTGATAACCTTGAAATGATCCGCAAGCGAGGTTATTCACTTAGGGGACACAAGTTTGCAATTTGTGGTGATTTCCAACGTAAACCACGCGTTTCAGTCCTGGCGTTTCTGGGAGTTGATGGAAGCATTGACTATTATAATACTGACGGAACATTCGACCGTGTCAAGTTCTTCACGTGCTGCAGATATTTTGCGTATTCCAGTCGTGGAAAGGTTCGCCAGTACCCTGGCACCCATTCGGTATGGATTTTGGATGGCGCCTCAATTCACCGAGACCCAGAAATAATTTACTTTCCTCCGGAGTATCGGAGTGATTCCTATTTTCCTGCCTGCCTATCGTCCATTCTTCTATCCTATTGAGTTTATGTTCGGCTATATCAAGCATTCATTTCAGAGGCATTATGTTGAGTCAAGTGGTAGCGATCTACTTCCGTTTGTGATTGAAACGTTCACACGTTTCGAAACGTTTAAAATGGCGAGCGACTTTCAGCACTGTGGCTGGACAATACAGGGCCTTTTCGATCCGACTGCCCCCTTGTCAAGAGAAAATCGACACGACGCGAGACAGGAGAGTTTCGATAACAGTAACTATTTAGAATTTTAACGAGGCAAACTATTGGATCTGAAAGCTAATAAAATGGCTTGATGAAGCACTACTCTTGGTGTTCGATGTCCTTCATGTTCTCCATTGAAACTAGCGGATTAATCACAGTCGAAATAGGTCGCAGAGGAGTATTGGCGCGGATACTTTGAAGTGTCCTTTTGCGCGCTTCAAGTGCGTCCTTCGGATTTGCTAAACGCAATCCAAACATCTCCCAGTGATGGTCTAGCTGTTCGTTGTCTTTAAGCGATGCATGTACAGTATCGAGAGCCAAATCAGCCGATTTAGTGAGGTCTGCTAGATGTTGCTCAACTCGCATCAGCTGCCTGGAGCATCGGCAATATCCTAGCTGTTGTAGGACCCAACATGGCATTTTCCCATATTGAGCGATCTAAATTACGCCTGATTTCATTCGCCCACATTCTCCATGCTGCAGCGCTGGCTTAAAACGTTCCTCCCCAAATTTTACGGAGTCGTTCCACCAATTCAAGAATTGACGCCTCTGCAGCAGCGCCAGAACGGTCTGTGTGCTCTGGAATACAGGTCACTTTGAAGTCCTCGAGAATCCGTGCATTTGATATGCTTAGACTGTAGGTGTAAATCGTCAAAGTGGCCGTGTCACCACGGAGTGAAGCAGCTCAACGGCTCCATGATTCTTCAGACTTTGACGTCGGAATTATGCGCCCATTCACCTTAAATGGCATCACCTTGTTCCACATAGACTCGCTTGGCTCAACACAAGTTCATGTATCGCCATCTTTAACGGCCTGGCCCATAATATGGCACTTGAAATTCTCACAAACCTTGTGCATAATAGCGTCAAATGTGGCTCCATTTGCAGCAAAAACATCTAGCATCTGGCATGATGAATCACGCATCCCAACAGTGTCTTTGACGACGCCTTGTACCACTCGTTGTAGGCGGTGTTGCTCTGGATTATCTGGTGATGTGCTCAGTGATACGCGAGCTCGGTGACTAGCTGGATATGCTGAGGATGGAAACGACTGAGGAGGCGTTCACTCCCGTGATGGGTACGACGAAACACGTAAGACTGACAACGTCGAAGGTGGCGTCCCTCGCGCGGACGTTGGGCGGCGTGCTGACACACAAGGTTCAGTACTTCTGCCTTGTTGTGCATCCGCCGTTGCTTGTCCTAGAGTCCCAGGTCTGGCCGCTTCATCGACCATGCTAGTACCGCCCCTAGCCAGGCTTGACTGGCAATGCAGCTGCGGCTACTGGCACTCTCCCAGCGCACTGTACACCAACCAGACGGGCGACTTCGACTGGAGTGCTGCGAGCTTGACGCGGGTAAGCACTGCAGCCTTTGAGAGCTTCGTGGGTCGTGACATGGACTCGGTCGTAGCTAGCGGCTCAGTGAGAACCGTGAACGTGGCCTCAGTGAGCGATTGCGGGGCGCAAGTCAGCTCGAATCACCTCAGTTGAAATGCATTTACATGCTTATAGTGAGTTTTACGTGCTTCGGCGTTCGATTGGTTTGAAGAACCGCGTGCAGAAATTTTGAGTAGAACTCACAATAGTAGGACGCATTCTCTCCTACCGCTCCAGCATGCTACATTACTTTTACAGTAGTTATTGTATCCAACTGGGTGTTTTGCACCCGAAGAACAACAATGCGTTCGCTAGGGAATTCGTTTGCTTGGCTATCCGCTGCAAACACGACGCACTATGCTGGTTTGCTATGCCTACCTATTATGATCTTCACACATTTCGTCGACATTTGCGTCGATAACAGTGCCAATGACAGTTAAACATATTACTACCAAGACGGAAGCCTTAGATCCAGCTACATTTTTTTATTGCACTCACTTGTAAGCTGACGGCCAACTACAAATCGGTAGCTCTAGCACATGCAGAGTAGGAAACAAGGCTATTATGTAAGTCGAAACAGTCACTGGACGGCAAAAGCCACCTTTAGGCACTTCTTGTGCTCTTTGCTAATTCTCGACTGAGCCTTCCCGCCCACTTTTCCTTATTTCTGTACTTTAACCTCCAGACCACAGTCAAATTCAGTTTAATCCACAACATACTCCTACTTCGTCTATAAATAGGAAACCACTATTACGGAGTATATATGACTTGGGATATTTCGTATTGAGCTGGCCAACCTTGAACAGTAACATATTTCACAAATAGTGCCCGCCTATTACTGCCCCCTAAAATTTGAAGAAGATGGAAGAGATGGTTCTATTCGTACTAGGGTACTATTTTTCTACGTTTTAAATTGAAAATATACAAATATATTCGTATTTTTTCATTTAAATTAGGTTAAAAATATTCAATTTTTTTGCATATTGTGTGCTGCCATACAAATAGAGGGCACTATTTGGATAATGGGGCACTATATCTTTTGTACCAGCATAGCAAACGTACATTAGTGCATCAATACTGTATAACTCGGTTAAAGACGCCCAAATATCAGCAATCACAATAGACTTTTTTGTTTAAGTCGCCCAAATATCAGGATCCCCAAATGTCTTCTAATGTCTACTTAGGGTTCTTATCGAATACGCATACCGAACGTGACGTCTAGTACATCTGTTTACATTTTTTGATACGATAATAGACACATATCATTCGTCAGTAAACTCGAAATGACAAGTGTACACAAAGAAGCCAGAATGTCCAGTAGTAAGCAGATTATTAATACTGGCCCATGGCAGACACGCGTACAAGGCGTGGACTGCCGTGACGCATTTGCGTCACGGCCGCGTGCAGCATTCCCCACCAACCATCCATTTTAGTTTAGCTACAGCTCCAAATACTGAGCCACTACGTCGTCGTTTCGATGCCCTCTTGTCAAGCCTGATCAAGGGTGATACCAAGCAGAACTGAAGCTGAGTTCATTAGGCACTGATGGCAAGTCTTCTGCTGCTCGTTCGCGGTGTGAGGTTATAAGTCTTTTTGATTTGTCCTAGATATCATGAAATGATCGAGGTACACCTTCCCTGCAAGCGTGTAACGTGTGAGAATAGCATATCATGTACCAAGTGCTCCGTTCGCTGGAAAGACCGTCACTGTCCAGCTGTATCTATTCAAGTCATCACTAGCAACGCGCAACCTCACCTACGCGGCGGCCCTGAGTGTGCTGTGCCCCCACGTCCTTATTTTACACCCAAAATGAAAGCCTACATCCACCAAATGGACGAAAATGCAGTGCCAGCTCGGCTGAGCTGGCGTAGTATTCCGCGAGCTCCTGACATTCTGAATCCAGGCCTGGGCCACCTATCGTACGCTCAAGTATAGTAGAAAGTTAGGTGCATACTCTGGCTTAAAGTAAACAAAACACAATGCGGTGAAGAAGCAGAAGCATTCTAAAGCTTATGTGGCGGACATTGAGCCTCAGACAGCTTTCGAATATGGAAACGTAAAAGACGAGATCGATTGCTCATTTGTGGGGAACGGAGAAGACAAGCAACCATTGATTTTGGGCATCGCCACGATGAAACTGCTGCAAGGCATTCATGCACTACATTAAAAGGAGCCTTTCCTATTTTTTTTCATTTGGACGCGACCTTTTAAGCGTAGTGATCTTGGAGACCCTGTCATCACCTGTAGCTTCCTGATAAGCGCCGTGTGCTCCATCTTGTTGCTTTATTTATCTTAGTCAGCGTACGAAAAGTGAGTACTTCGAGGCTTTTGGATAATTTACTAGGCTTTTTCAGACACACACAACCCCACTCAAAATTGATGCTGCTATGGGTGATGCCGAAGCTGCGCAGCTATACGCACTGTCAAAGCTTGCCTGGATTTGATAGCTGGAAGAACTTGATGTGTTTTTATTCCCAACCGCCATTCCCACGAAGCATGGGTGGAAAGATTCAACAGGTCGTGTCCATGGTAGCGAAGATAGCTCTGAGATTCGAGGTGGAGACAATAATTGTTTGGCTCCCAGTACTGATGCCTTGGGAGGAGGGACTACAAGTTCATGTGGCGGCGACAGTATTTCGGGTGGTGAGGTAATTATTGGCGGGACAATATCTCGGCTGATAATGTAGTTATCGGCGAGGGCAATATTTCGAGCGGTGGTGTAATTATTGGGCGGAGCCAATGTTTCGTGGCGGTGGTTATATCGGGGTTACTCGCAAGTGGGTACATGTAGCCACTTGATTACGAAGAAGGATTTCCACGGTGGTAGTGAAACTACAAAGGCAAGGGAACACACCCGCAAGGCAACCCTACGGCCAGATCCACGATCTAGGCCCCGGATCCATAAGCTCGAATATTCGCTTAGGATTCGGAACAATCCACGGACGCAGAGTGAAGATTTTCCACTGCTGCTCCACCCCATCCCCACGTCTCGCCAAGACACTCAAGCTTCCCCACTTGAACTCTTCGGAAGTTACCGAGAGAGCAAGATCCCGCCCTACCGACGGGTACACAAGGTGAGGAAAGTTCAGCAGAACACGGATCATCGGGGGACCCCTTCCGTTAGTCGGTGTCTGGGCGCAGTTGGTAAGTTGAATCGGGCAATCTCGCAGAACACCAATGGTTTCATTTGGAAGACTGTTGGTCTGCATGCATTTAGGGCATTCATTGGTTGAAGTCAATACCTTCAACAATTTAATTGTAGGATTGTGTCAACCATTCGTCGGCAAATACTTTTCATTTAGAATTTTAGATTAGGAGGAAAACCCAAACAGAACAAATAAACAGCTCTCACTTTTACCGGAAATCGGCTTTGCTTTTCTATTTAAGTAATCTATACTTTCGTCCGAAAGTATACTTAATCCAAGTAAAACGCATCTTACGCTTCCTCATACACGTGAGCTAACATGTAAGCCGAAGTAGTGGGCACAGAGTAGACACATTACACATGGTAGCACTTTGTAGTCCGCCCAATGACCGACTACCTGACGAGCTCATATGGAATACGAACACGGGGCTGAGAGCCAACCATGGACTATAATCCGTCTATGCGTAGTCCAAGTGCTTCTACCACGCACATGGTGCGTGCAGACTGCTCTCATCTGCAGAGTGAGAAACTCTTCGAGGACTGTCAACAGTCGTTGGAGAGGCAGCCGCCGACAGAGCTACCCGATGTTGTTCCGGGATTCATCTTGAGTGAGCAGCGCGATGCTGCTACT